TTCTCATTGTTAGTCTCGAGGATATTGACGATCATTCAAAGACTGAGTCGAAGTCAGTCAGTGGACGAAACAGACTTAGACCCATAGCACACGGCGTATTTTAAACGCGCAGACGACGCGCGTTCCAGAAACGAACGTTCAACGAGCGTTTGAACTTTGAAGCTATACAAACGCGCGTACAAAGAAGCGCAGTAGGAGCAGAGCAAAAAACAAAACAAAACGCAAAAGCTACGCGCGACCACAACGCGTCTGTTCGCTGTATCTTCGCGTATAGACGCGCGTTTCACGATCTCCCCGTGTGCTTAGGTTACAAGGTTGCGAGCGAATGGCGTTTGAATCGCGTATACGCGCGTAATCTGCGCGTCGTCTGCGCTTTTAAAATACGCCGTGTGCTATGGGCCTTAAAGATATCATTATACTGTTACCTCTTACATGTTCTGTTACAGTTATTTTACAGAAAAATACAAAAATAACAAAAGTGTTAACATATATGTATATGTTGTATTTAATAACTATCAACTCTGACCGAGTTCTTATTGCCAATAATCGTATCAGTTTTCTTCACTCGGTTTCATTATACATTTAAATATTTGTTTAATTTACGGCTGACGAATTAATTCGGGACGATGGCTCTCCAACACGTTATGAATAGACCGGTCTCATTGCCAAAGTAAATTTCATTAATACAAAAAGATTTCATTGAAAAGAAGCAGAAAAGTCGAATAGACTGTACGTTTAAGATGTACCTATTGAAACATAGAGAAGAGATAGTATCAGATACTCACCGTACATTGTTTAAATACTTCTTGAAAACATTACAGTGTGATATAAACTGATGCTGTTCTCTCCTATATATGTATATAAGATTTTTATTTATATTAATGGAACGTCTTAGTATTATTTTATACAATTATTTACCTACTTAATGTGTGTTTGACTACACGCTACGTATTCTGAAACCTTTACATTCAATTTGATAAAACTCTAATAAGTCGTTACCGAAGTATGAAAGCTATTAACTAAGACTTCTGGCAAGCGACGCCGCGGGAAAAACATGTTATAAATACGTGTGCTCATTAATAACTGTTTTAAAATCATCAAAAAAATTTCTTAAAAATGTCAATGAAATGAAACCTCGATTAAAATTTTCTCCTCCACCTCGTACTAAGTGGTTCTCAAAGAAAAGAAAATTTACTCACCACGTTCTCAACTCAATTAAGTGATCATTAATAACACGATGAAGCCGCTTCACTTCACTTCACTTCACGTCACTTCACCTCACGAGCGCTTGCGGCAAGCGCTGGCGTCCGACTGCCGCCTAGGGGCCAGGGGCTATGACCAAGGACCCTATGAACGCGGCACCTCACATTACTCCTGAACCGCGGTATTTTTCTCATAATTTGTCTTAAATTTTTAACATATTGTTTCTTGAATACTTAACAAACTCTCCTATATTAAAATAAACGTGTTAGGATAATGTTCTATAATTATACAATGTTTATTAAATGTACTATTTGTATTTAAATATATAACATATCATTTAAAGTTTAAATAATCGAATAGTAAGTGTAAGACTTACAAAGTGTTGCGTCATCCATAGTATGTCAATCAAATGTTTCATATATTATATCGGATTTATTACTAACTAGCTTTCCGCATGCAGCTTCGCCCGCGTGGAGTTCGGTTATATCTCGTTTCCAAGAGAACCTTTCAAATGTCTGGGATAAAAACTATCCTACGTTCTTTCTCAAGGTCAACTCTATGTCTGTACCAAATTTCATTTAAAATTTAAATCAGTTCAGTGGTTTAGGCGTGAAAGCGTAACAGACAGACAGACTGAGTTACTCTCGCAGTTATAATATTAGTAGGGATTCGTTGTTTTAAAACAGAGACGCCAGCCTCGCTGACGTTACTAATGTTACTTCTTTCAGTACGTTCCATGATATTGTAAAATGAAACTTAGGGGCCATCCATAAAGTACGTCACACGTAAAGGGGGAGGGGAGGGGGTCGACAAAGTGTGACATGGTGTGACAATAGGTGGGAGGGCTCCTAAGTTTCATGACATCACATTTCAAAATCTAGAGGTACTAATCGCGTAATTTGAAATATTAATTAAACTAAAAAATATGTCCAACTCTATCTTTAGGGCGATACGGTTTGTTTTGTTGTCAAGTTCATAGCCGCTTCTGACACACGGTGCCGATCGCCGACGAGCCCTTTGACTAATGCCGCAAAACGCACCGCACCTCGCGTAGGTTACTTTGATACTACATAATATGTTGAATTCATAAAAAGGTACTTAATTTAAATGGAAATAAAACTAATTTCGGAACTGCCATTTTCGGATTGGACTATCATGATGGATACGTATGAGAAACAATACAAAATCCCCGAGGATATTTGTGCGTCGACCTCCAGACCAGACATATTTCTATATTCGCGTATTTTAAAGCGCGTTGTGATGATAGAGCTTACGGTGCCTTGGGAAACCAACATCCCCAAAGACTATGCCATCAAGGTCAATAAGTATTACGAGCTCACTAACGAACTAACTCGAAATAGGTTCGTCGTTGATTTGTACGCGGTAGAAGTGGGAGCGAGAGGTATAACAGCTAAATCTCTCTATAACCTACTAAAAGACTTGGGCCTGTCCAGAACTAACATTAGTTCATTCTTGGAACGTACGTCGAAAGCAGCCCTAGTAGGTTCTTTTCAAATTTGGTTAGGTAGGGAGAGGAACTTGGACAGTGGAGGTGAGCGTATAACGCGCGTTAGTTAAGGGGCCCCTTAAACCTACACCTGGGTCGCAAGTCCCAGGCACTGTTGAAGCTCCTCTCCCTGCAACGCGATGGACCCGGCACCCGCACGGTGAATCCATTGGATGCTAAGAGGTTTCGTCTCTTCGTCTCGTCTCATTTTTCGATGTTAAATTGCAAAACTCATATTTATACCAAGATTTAAACATACCTAGTTCTATTCTACTTTTAAACAGTGTTTGATTTCATTTTACTTTTAACAATAATCATAAATACTAATAAGTTTCAATAAGAATTGATGACAGCCTCTATTATTTTCACGTCGCATCCTTTATTAAAGCTGATATCGCCTATATATACATTATACTATTATATTGAAATCAGCTTTGTATAAAACTGTTATATACATAAATAAAACTTTAAAAATATATATTTATTTTATTTTAAGTGTATTCAAATATTTGCTATTATTATTTAAGAGTTATGTATAAGATTTATATTTTTAATAGGTATTTTGTTACAGTTAAAAAGTAAATATCTTTGAATATGGGGTGTGAGGGTAAGACATATGTATAAAACATTGTTCTTCACCGAGGTAAGTGGGTTGACATCGGACAGCAGCCTGGGCCATATCTTCAATTGAAAACCTGTGGTTATAGTGAACTATTGAGCAACTAACTCTTGAAGAAAACAATTACCTCCCGAAAAAATATAGACGAAATAAGTATATTTTATGTAGGAATAGCTTCTCTTTACGAAAAAACAATATTTTGTAAAATTATAATATGTCCAGGAAATAAAATGTCATAAGATGTTTTAATGAATTGTTTATTTCGATATATGTATGTAAACCTGTCTTTGTTAGGTATATAATATTTCAACAAATATGCGCAGATTTGAAATATGCGCAGTGCAGGAATATAAATTCTATATTTTAGTGTAAAATCCATCTTTACCTATATTTATATCTTCTTCTTCTTCCTGGCAATTTTCCCAGCTATAGCCAGGGTCTGCCTTACATGTTGTGAATGGTTTTGGCTATTTGTTTTTACGACCGGCCGCCTGCCTAACATCAACCCTCTTTTAGGAATCAACATTAATCAGTGATGTCTAAATATTCTTAGAAAGTACATATGATTCGGAAAAATCACATTGGTACTTGCCCGGGCCAGGATCGAACCCGCGTCCTCGGCAACGAGAGGCGGGCCCTTTAACCACTGGGCCACCACTGACCTCTTTACCTATATTTATATGTCGCTTTGAATGTCATCGTAAAATTAGCTTTAATGTTTAGACAATGTTGTCCCGATGTTAAGTGTTACTAGAGCAAAATATTTATATCCGTACATAGACCATTACTGAGTATTGCTAGTGAAAAGAAATAAATGTGATTAATGTTTTTATTGAATTTTAAACTTTTGACATAGTGTCACATATTTTTATTTAATTTATATTATAAAGTAGTATTATATACTCTCATTCTTTTTGTGATATCATCTAGTCCAATGTAATAAGTGTTAAATATCTAATATATTTGTAACTTAATATTATTTTATTGTATTTATCGTAGGCGTAATAAATTAAACATTTACATTTGTTTTCGTAGTGGAAAAGATACTATTCGATGTCTTAAATGGCGTTAATAATTCAATGTTACTTAATATATTCCAACATCTGTTAGTTGACCATATCACAGACGTACTCTGCGCACATAATGAAGATTTTCATGTACATTGCCACATCAGGCATTTCCGAACATTGTATTCTTTAATAACCACGTTAAAGACAGACGTAAGGGTCGCAAAACTGTAATTCATCAGACATTTCCTCAATAAACCTGTGACTATATATTTGTGACATATTTATTTTCTGTTATATATTGTAATAAGATCAATCGTAATTTAATTTCGAAATGCTCAGCGAATCTGTGTCGTTTACGTTAAAATGTTGTTTTATATAAAATTGTTCCCAAACATGTTGTTTTATTCAGCACCCAAACGGAAAAAATAAAATTGGTTGAGGAAATGGAGGGATGGGGATAGGGAAATAGTAGGAAAAGGCGACCGGCTCTCTCACTCATCAGACGAAACGCAGCCATTAAACACTACTTCACGCCGATCTTTTGTGAGAGGGTGGTACTTCCCCATCGAGCCAGCACATCTTCGAGCTGTAGTAACATGACTACAGCTAGGCTCTACCACCATTATTTTTATTGCTTGGAAAAGATGTTTTTGCTGAAACGATGATTATTCTTTTACCAACCTTTGCAATTTCACTAGCTGCACGGGTTCCAGCCGGCACGGAATTGGTTTGTTGCAAGAACTCCTCTGCTGAGTGGTAATTAAGACAGCGACCGATGTCAGCTTTCCACTAAGATATTCGCTTTCCTTACTATTGAGTACTTTGATAATACAATATTCATTCACATTTCTTACCCATTAGTTGATGACTGTTGACGTTAAAATTAACAAATTATTACCGAAAATAACAAAATCTTTTAACATAAAAGTTTAATTGCTTAAAAAATATTAATGAAATAAATCCTTTAAATCATTCTAAAAAAAAGTGTTATTTCAGTCTTCGGGGTGTTATTTAGAAAAAAGAAATTATTTCACCAGTGCCATAAGTTCATTAATCTTTTAATACAACTGCAAATCTTTTAATACAGCATGTCTGATAGCTTGCAATCAAATATATGTATTTGATACAAAGCAAAGATACGTATTGGATTTCAAGTTTTTTAAAAAAATCAAGACAAACCACACAAGGAAATGAGCCAATTCTTAAGACCAATTAAGAGTGTCATTCCTATACAATAAGCTGGTATGTGCAAACTTGATTAGGACTGTGGCTTTTCATACATTAAACAAAGGGAGAAGAGCGTCAGTATAGGGGTCAAAGAATAATTCACATATTGATTATTAAAAAACAGACGTGCATCAAAGCCAGAAGTATGTGAACACACGATAGATAAACCAGGCCACTACATTCGGTTCGATAAACCACAAATCACATACTCTCGTCGGCCCGTGATCACGGTTGCTGTAAAGTAACTGAAACGTCGGGAGTACGTAGTTTTTATCAAAAATAAAGTCGCGAAGTATATCCGCAAAATATTAGTTTCATTTTAAATCTCAGATCTCATTATGTAAACGACAAATACAACTAGTAATTCGTGAAGACACCCTTGCATTTATATATACTACTAGCTTTTGCCGCGACTTCGTCCGCGTGGAATAGTGACTTCCGGCAGATTTTTGGTTCTTCCCACATAGTTCCCGTTCTTGCGGGGTTTCCGGAATGGTCGAGTTCCCGTAGAATTTTCAGGGTAAAATCTGTTTTTGTTTTATTCACAATGAAGTACTCTTAACCAACAACATATTTATTTGTTTACTAGTTTTTGCCCGCGACTTCGTCCGCGTTAGTTCGGTCAAGAGTAATATATGTAGGTATAGCTGACCAGGCGAACTCTATTCCGTCTTAGAGGCCATAAATAATCAGGTTTTTCCTGTTTCAATCAAACAGAATGATTGACATATTAGTTAGTTGTCAAATCTAATGTCAAAAAAAACGTTTGTATGGGAAATAGAAAAGGGCTGCTTTTAGAGTTTTCCTGGGAATTATTCCAATTTTTCTCACCTTTTAAACCTTCCCTGGACTTCCAGAAGCATTTCAAGACTAAAATTAGCCAAATCGGTTCAGCTGTTCTCGAGTTTTAGCGAGACTAAGGAACAGCAATCCATTTTTATATATATAGAAGATTTGAATAAAGATTAATATTATTATATTGATACAACTTAAACAAATTATTTCGACCAAATTAGGTACCATAAAAACGGTTTTTGTGAGTTAATCTTAAAATATAGACATATACTGTTTTTTTAGATCATTAAAAGAGCTATTATTCTTTAATACATACTTTTTGTGTATCTTGAACCGTTTTCACGGCGTACGCAACGGAAGGCTTCAAAGATGAAATAATTTCTCCCGTTTTTTACACATTTACCACTATATCTTTACTCCTATTGGTCGTAGCGTGATGTTATATAGCCTACAACAGCCTTCCTCGATAACTGGACTATCTAACACAAAAATAATTATTCAATTCGAACCAGTAGTTTCGGAGATTAGCGCTTTCAAACAAACAAACAAATTCTTCAGCTTTATAATATTAGTATAGATAACACTTGGAATTTCCACAACTAAAATATAAAATGCCCTGTTCGTAACCACCGTGCCAAATCTCAACACACATTTACACACAGACACAGGGCATTCTGTGTGCATCTAGAATTTGTTGACAAGTAACAAATTTACTTACAGACACTTTCATCGACTGCCCGTGATCACGGTTGTAATCATTAATCGAAATCTCAGAGATATTTATAATAAAATAATACACCTATGTGGTATAATACAACAGATAGATTCATTTAAAGATGTCATTATGCTCAAACATTTATTTACATAAAAAAATCTGCTTATGTCCACAAAAGACGAACCTGCAACTCAAAGCATTATAAAAGTGACGGAATTATTTTGTCACAAAATATAATTATTTTCAATACTCTAACTTCGAGAATTCAATTTCATTTCAAAAGTTCATTTTCAACTACTGCTCTATATTTGATAGAGTACTACGTCGTAGTACTATACTAGCAATAATTGTACTTTACATATGACGTAGCTATTTTATAAAAATAACTGTTTTGATTTTACTATACAACAAATAAATATATACTATATTGGGTTCAAAATAATTTAATATTATTTATAGGGGGTAGTCTGAAAAGTTTTTAACTTTTGATTGTAGATGTGTCACTGTCGTGGTGTTAGTAATTTCTTTAACAATGTCATTTGTATTTTGTTCGTTGTATGATATGTATTAAAAACAGTAATTGTTAATTCATATCGTGACTTGCAATATGTGGTGATTAGTCATTCTGTAAGTCTTAGTAAAGTGAAAGCTTAAACAGTAACTAATTTGTAATCAATGTTAATCAATTGTTTCCTATGAACTGTTAAGATTTATTTATCAACTATTACAACTACTGTATTTTTTTGTGTTTATTTGAATGACTACGATTATTCATCGTAACTAAATATTTAAAATAAAAGAGTAAGTGTGATAACAGCAGTGTGAGAACTATCTACATAGAAGGAAGATTATCTAATTGCAAGTGCAAGTTACACTCTAAAATAAAGTAGTAGACGTGTTTGTTAGTGTTTTATTAGTTAAATGGAAAAAGGATAAGCTGACTGTTGAAAATAGTGACGTCATCATTACTGAGGACACACTTCTTGATAATTAAATATGACGTGTTGTTTCGACATATGCATCCAAATCATCAGCGTACCGGCGCCCACTGCTGAGACAAGGCCTCTTCTTCTAAGGAATTTATAAGTCCAGGTTTCCTCACGATGTTTTCTTTCACCGTCTGTCAGTGGAGTCTAAATACTTTTAAAATGTACATATAACTCGGACAAAATCACATTAGTGCTTGCCAGGTTTCGAACCCGCGCCTTCATGCAACGAGAGGTATGACTTAACCTATTCGACACATAATTGTTTTAATGTCATGAAAGTTCTATCACAAATAGTTTTTCATTCACGTAGGAACTAAAAATCTCACTATTATAAACCTTCTTAATATTTAATTACATGAAAAGTCTTTTTCTCAGCGTTTAATCGATTAAAATAAAAAAAAATTGACTTGCTTTTATGTGTTTCTTAAAACTTAATTGAAATAATGAAACTATTGAGGCCATAGATTTTAAAAGGCAATAATTTTTTTTGATTTTGTTTGTGACTCATAAACGGATAAGTTAATATAGCTACCAATTGTAAAACTTTTTTGTCTTCATAGATGAATATTGAATAAATTAGGGTCATTAAAATATTGGTCAGGAGGTAGGTATAGCTGAACTGGATGGAAAAATCACTGTGTCTTACTGAAAATTTGCTGTCATATTTTCAATTATGGATTATTTAACTTTATTTTTAGGTAGCTGCAGCTATAAGACATACCCTGCCTTACATATAACAGTCAAAAACCTCTCATTTTCCTTTTACCTCTATCGTCTTTTATCGTGTGAAGATCAAAACATCTTTATTTAAGTTGAGATAACTGTGCCTGAGGGAACATAAAATCCAACAACGACGGGACTCTGCTCTATAGTTGTCACTGTTTTTTATTGAGTTTATGTAATCCTATATATAGTATATTATCCAAATATTTTCTCAGGAACAAAATCCCTATTTCGCCGATAGAGGACGACAGGTCTGCTCCCCTGCTGCAGTATGCTGAGTGGTCTCCTGTCGGCTCCGGGCTGGTCTTCGTTTATGACAACGACATTTACTACAAACCCAAAGTTTTGAAGGCCTTGGTGTGCAGGATCACTAGTAACGGTAATTATATTTAATAATTATATTATAATAAGAAATTTGTGTAATGAAATCAATGCGCATATACATATATATGATAAGAATGATTTTTAAGATACAATATATAAAGTGATCAGAAGGATTAATAAACGATTCTTTAGTATATGGTAAGGCAAGTAATGTTTTGCACTATTCAAAAATAGGGTTTAAATACATTCAAATATTATTTGATTCAGTAAAATTTTCGCACTGAAAAACGTCGTATCTGGAAAACGCATCTATTCCTCTCAAATTGACTCAGCATAACTGTATCACAGTTAACAATATTACCAATTTAGCGAAATCTAAGCGTAAACTGTCAGAATATAAAATTGAAACAAATACATAAATTGAAATGAAAATTAAAGGACAAGTTAAAATGAGAAATTCATCGATATTTTTCAACTGGAATGCGGTATTGCAGAGGTTTCGGTTCAAAAATCTCTTTTTCTCGTGAAAACAATAGTTCGTTTAAAATGGATACATCGTGTAATTTCTATTTATGATTTTATAAACTTTGTATCTGGCGAGCGATGCATATTAACAATATTTCTTGCATTTTATGTTTGTTCAGGTTAACAATCTTAAGCTAAATAATAAAGCTTTTAACAATCTTAAGCTAAATAATAATAAAACAAAAATTGTGAAATTTAGTACACCTAATGTACATAATGTAAAAGCCGATGTACTCATTAACGGGGAATCGATGGATCCAATTGATTCTGCTGAGTTTCTTGGCCTCACTGTTGATGCTAAGTTGCGATGGGGCCCCCATATTAGCGGATTGGCGAGTAGACTGAGTTCTGCGGCATTCGCGGTCAAATAAATTAGATTATGTACCGATGTTGATACGGCTCGCTTAGTACATATATTTCAGTTACTTTCACAGTATAATGTCATACGGTATTATGCTGTGGGGCAACGCAGCCGCTATCCATACTATATTTGTGCTACAGAAGAGGGCTATTCGCGCAATCTATAACCTAGGAGCTAAAGAATCGTTAAGGAATAAATTTAAAGAAATCAAGATATTGACTGTTGCTTCTCAATATATATTCTGCAATGTTATGTATGTACGAAAAAATATTAATGATTTCATGAGAAAATGTGAAACTCATAGCATTGGTACAAGGAACAAACATAAACTTGTTACTCCTGTTACTCGACTACATAGAGTCAGTAACTCCTTTGTGGGGCAATGTATACGGTTTTCCAACAGGATCCCAGAAAGCGTTCAAAATGCCTCTATTGCTAAATTTAAAAAAATTATTAAGGAACGCTTGTGTGCAAAAGGTTACTATACAATTAATGAGTTTATGAACGATAGCACACCTTTGGAATGAAACGATCGCCTCCTGGCTATTTCATCTCATATTAAATTGTGTATATAATATATGAGACAAATATATATATATATATATATATATATATATATATATATATATATATTTAAAAAAACCCGCTGAGTTTCTTTCGCCGGTTCTTCTCAGGTCAGGGTATTTTCTTTTCCGAACCGGTGGCAGTGTCTCAAATGACCATCAATAATAAAGTTGTTTGAGTTTGAGTTTGAGTTAGAATAGTAGGTATGTCGATGAATTTTTATTTCTTTATTTTGTTATTAAAAGATTAATTCACACATAGGATTAAATTTCTATAAACTCACGGTAATATTTTTCAACAAAAAAAAACTATAATGAAAACTAATCACAAATGAACTCTTAAATCGTAAAGAAAATTTCAAATAAATAGAATATAAATGAAGGCTGATTTCCATAACCAAAAACATGAATACAATAAGCATAACACACCATGCATTGATGAAAGCAAAGAAAACACAATAAAAACCTAAATGACAGTTTTTCAAAAGCACAAGAATTATTACTTCTATTACACGCCCTACATCGGAATTCTAAATCGGAGATTCCAATCATACATTACATACTTAAGACCATACTTAATTTCATTAGGCTGGTATGTTCGCTGGACCAGTTGAATGTCTGAGCGTCAGGTAGCTGCTCTGCTCCTCAACAGACCTCAGAATCTATCCATCATCACCACCTGCAACGCTGTTACATACAACTGCCAGGATGTGAGTGTTGTATTAAATATTTATAAACATATGTTTGATAGCTTAGATTTTTATAAATTATCAGGGCCCATGGCAGAAATATGACCTACCATACAAGAAATGAAATACTGAAAATCAATTCATATTTACTGGAACGATTGTGATAATCGAACAAAACAATAGTTAGCAAGCGATAAGTTTAATAAAAACAGCTCATTCTATTCACACGATGTTTTTTTGAGGAAACAAACAACAAATATTTAGCGCTTACATAAACAATCATACGGTTGAAAGGGAACCTTCTTCTTTTATACCGTAAACATAGAAATACATGTCCAATTACATGTAATACAAAAATACATTTAATTTTCAGATTTATCGCGACGAGTCTGACGCTTCGCGATGGTCAGGTCTTGGGTCAGACCCGGAGGAGGAGTGCGGCTGGTGCGGGGGGGTGGCGCTGGTAGGGGGGAGGAGCGGCATCTTCACCTCCATACCTGTCACCGACCAGGGAGGAGTGTGGAGACACGCGATACATCTGACACAGGAGACGAGGACCACCATCACACAGGGGAACTTCGAAATAACACAGCTGATCGGATGGGATGAGAAACGAAGACTGCTGTATGTTTGTTCTCTAAATAAGTTTGTTTTTCTTTTGTATTGGCAAAATAAACTCTTACTTTACTCTTATAACAAAAGTAGGGTAGTATGTACATTATATGCACTTAAACTAAGAAAGCAATCTAGAGCAAAGAATGCATTCTGTAAGCTGAGCATCGATACAAATTATAAATCAAATTAAAATATGCTGTATTGAAACAGACTTTACAAAAATATACTTATGACTTCTGTACAGCACAAATCACTGAAACATTTAATAAACGACAACATACTTTTATCGAAGTATGTAACGAGAAATTCTTGGGTCCTTACATCTAATAAAACTGGTACTGATGGTTATCAGTGAAGAAACATAATTATGTATGAGATAAACATTTAAGGCAAAATTTAAATTCTTATATAATAATACATCGGAAAAAATAATTGTTAGAAATTTCTTTCGGGCTATTAGTATCAGAAAAAGCAGTGAAATTATATTTCACAGTACTTATATATTTTGGTGAAATTCAAGAAAACGTTGTATTTTTTTAAATATATTCATAAGAAAATCACGAATTTATTCCAAGCATTTAGTCCGCAGGCGTAACATTATGTAAAATTTATATTTAATGTATTTTAACAGATCAAACACATATTGGGACATTTTATATTAGAATAGTTAGAATTGCTCTATTTTAATAATTATAATTGTCTAAAACATCGTCTTTTTTTCAGCTACGTGATCGGCACCTCCGGCTGGCCTCCTCCACCCGTCTGCCTCACCTGCCCTGGACGGATGATTGAAGCTACCAGTGAACCCAGCACGGAGGAACCGGTAACACAACAGATTAATATACAACGTGTAACAAAATTAACGCACACCCTGAAAGTAGTTTGTTCAGAATCGGTATCTGGATCGATTTTTACAGTTTTTTATGTAGGTCATTTTTTTTCTCAAATTTAGATAGAACTAAGTAAATTACAGTCATCCTAGGCACGCAACACCAACAGCGACAGTCGGCACACATCAAATACCTACGCACGTGTCCATTGACCTCCTAGATCAGCTGATTTGACGCCACTCGACTTTTTTTTGTGGGGATAAATTAAGTCGCTAGTTTATAACACAGACAATAAGTTTCGAGGAACTAAAAACTAAGATAATAACCGCCTTTGTAAAAGTGAAAAGTAACACTGCAGTATTATCTAAAATAAAACCACAATTGCGGAAACGGTCATTAAAGTGCATTGAACAAGGCGGTGGATATTTCGAAAATGTTTTAAAACGACAACGCCGTGCGAGGGCAAATTAAACTGTAAGTTTGTTTATGATCTTTAAATTATTGTTAATATTTTGATTCACACCATTTAAACACGCCGACTTTGTCGTAGGTATTATGGTGTCTAATCAAATGACGCGTTATCAGCTGTTTAATAATTCTTATTTACAAATTTAATTTAATAAATCAGTAATTATAAAATATTGGCTTCACATTAATAAAAAAAATTCAATGTCGACAATCTTAAGCCTGTAAAGTGTGATAGAAAGAAGAATCATAAATCATAATGTAGTTATTTCGTGTATGTACTTATTATTACCTACTTCTTATTATTGTCGGACGGCACTCGGAGGGAGGGGCGCGGGCGCGGCGAGTACATTGTGTCTGTCTGTGTGTGCGTGTGCAGCGGAGTGTTGGTGAATAGCTGACCATATTATTTGCACGAAATTGGGATAACTAATTTCACAGATAAAAAATGCTAACGCACATATAAATAATATTTGGTGTATGCATTGCGTTTATATTATTATATTCTAATTGGGGTGTTTGAGGGTGTGCGTTAATTACGTTACACGTTGTATATACAAGAAGACCCGGCGAACTTCCCATCGCCCTATAATCAAGAAATATCTGTTACGTTTTTTTATTTTTATTTTTGGAGTTTAAGTACCTATTAAAGCCATAAATCTCCGTGGTTTGAAGTGTGACAGAATGATTGACATATTAGTTAGTTGTCAAATCTAATGTCAAAAAAAAACATTTGTTTCAACAACTACTAATAAATTAAAAATTAACCTAAAACATTGTCCAGCGGACAAAATTGTGAATCTAAACCATTCCCAGATCCCCTTGAACACACACAAAAAATTTCATCAAAATCGGTCCAGTCGTTTGAGGGACGTTCAGTGACATACACACTCACAGAAGAATTAAATATATAAAGATATATATTAATTGTGCCTTTGTCCATACACCACTGCTATGAGAAACGGATAGCTTTAGATGTAAGAATTTTATTGCTCAGTAAGACAAAAATAAATTCTGCTTGAAGAGAGGTCGATATACGAGAACTCTGTATTTAGAAATTTTAAAAAGATTTTCATTTAAAATTAAATTTTGAAAATATAAAAAGTCCTATACAGGTTCTTCCTGCAAAAACCATGGTTTGCATACTAGAACACTAATTATGTACACGACTCACATTTAAAATAAGATAACTCACTAATTTAGTTAGGGAGAAATAGGTTGTTAGTTAATTTTAAAATTGTTTTTCTCAAACAAACAGGAATACGACAACAGCACGTCATCGGTACCCGCGTGGCCCACGTCCACAGTCCTACCCCACGTTGCCGACGAAAACGACTCGCTCCCCACCGCCTGTCTCTACAACAGAGTTATATTCAGCAAGAATTTCTCCTACTACGTTCAGGTCAGAAAAATCGATGACGTTTTTTCTTATTATGAAACAATTGAAGCTAGCCTTAGTATCTCCGAATTATATAGGGTGGCAATCGGAGACAAAACTACCAAACATACTCATGTATATTATAATCAGAATTACATATTAAAACTTATAAATTACACCTAAGACTACATGATTGCCCCGATGTTGGGATAGCAATACCATTTCATAGCTTGTAGGGTATCAGAAATCATCTGGCTTGGTGTTCGTTGCGCGGAGTCAGCAGCGTCAATCGCTATAAGATATTTTATCCGTACAACGATGTCACCTCGAGCTGTTCTTTTTTTTAAATGTAGCGCGTTATATCCGCTCTAAAACTTACATTATATAGTTGGAGCTACTTCTAACACAATATTTCCAATATATATTTTGTCTTCTGCTTTACTCATGAAAGCCCTATTCTGTCTTCAGGAGTGCCTCGGTCCAGAGCCCCCAGCTATATTCCTCTGTACGTCAGCGGGGTCCCGCCGGGCCGTGCTCTGGGATGGAGCGCCGCTCAGACAAAAGTTCGCGGCCCTCGCTTCACCGCAAGCCAAAGTGTTCAGAGTTGAGGTGAGTTACTCTTTGTAGAAACAAACTAACTGGTGAATGATTTTATCTGTCTGTAATTGGACACATTAAAAACATTTTCACAAGCACTGCAAAAGTAAGTATGAGTGTAGTTCAGGATATTTACCGCCTGTAATTTTATATTTATTTTGGTATTTTGTACACATTCTTACAGAATGGCACAATAGAAATGCCTATCAAGTAGTCTTATTTCATCTCGTCAACATACTCGAAACTACATAATTACAGCTGGTTTGTGAAAAACTTAATTTTTGTAACCAGTTGAGTGCACGAAGTTATAGGAAACGGTATATTTAAAAAAAATCATGAAAGATAGCACTAATATAGTATAGGAGACATTGGCAGAATTAGTGTGGCTTCAGCACAGGAGTCTTGAGGAGCTTTTATAAATAGTATTTTATTGTATAGATATCGGATTCATCAGAATAATTATGACATTACTACTACAGGTGCAAGCACAAAGATCAGCTCGTGTGAGGTTACTTCTGCCTCCGGGTCTGCGTGATACTGACGACCTGCCGCTACCACTGGTATTGCATTTGTGAGTTTATTTCATACATACATATCTCAAAAAAGCTATATATTAATATAAGGTTTTTCTTCTATTTAGAAAGATATAAAAATTCCAGCATTAATTGTATCAAGGAACTTTATTTTGCATTTTTTAGAACAATCTTATTGATTACAAAACATTTTGTGAAGAAACAAATAGGTTAAAATATTTTAAACATCGTCTCATGTAAAATCTTATATTTATGTTTCATCCAGGTCTTCTGCCCCAGGGTCCCAGCTGGTGACAGAGCAGTGGGCGCCTCGTTGGGGCTGGTACCTCGCCGCCGCAAGGAACTTCGTAGTCGCTGAAATAGACGCGAGAGGATCCGGCGGACAGGTGTAGTATATGATTGAAGATTAGATCTTATTAAAGACAGGGAAATGGAAGCAAAGAATTGAATGAAAATTTATATACAATTTTTACAAGAAACATTATTCTTATATTAACTAGTATACAGGGTGACTGGTGAATTACTATCGATATTTGAGGACGTGATATTTGACGATCATATATAACAAAATAAAAATTAATATAACATAAATATTAATAAACTTCTAAGTAAAGTTAACCAAAAGTTGTGTAATTAATTACGCATCGTGTTAACACCCTACAGATTAGGTATACACACACACTCACACATACGCGTGCGAAGGCGTGGTGTTGTATCAGTACGCCGCCGCACGCGTCCACACTTGAACACTTGGAACGTGTCCGCACTTTATTTATTTATACGGAAATTTGGTCAAAAATTAATTTTTTATAGATAATTCGAATGAGAATCATGTACCGAGTATGCTCCTTAAATATTGATAGTAATTCACCAGTCACCCTGTATATGTGAAAAAAAACAAAAAAGTCATAAATGCCGTTTCCCTTGCCCCACCATTTCTTTTCCTTTAGCATAAGTAAAGTCCATAAACTTAAGCGTTTGGATTAACCACTTCCACTTAACGTCTACTTAACCGTTTGGTAATAACCATTTGACATATGATAACTTGTAATAATCTACAGAAAACCAATACAATGATATGACAAAGACAGTTTTAATACTCGATACCCTTCAATTGTAACCTGATTCAAGGAACGTTGTAGATGTATGTTTGTTTGTGTCAGCTACCTCCGTGACAACCTGAAGATGGTGGATGGCAGTCGTACTGGTGCGTGGGGGAGCGGGTATGGAGCGGCCGCGGCGCTGGCCCTGGCTGCTGGGGACGCGGCCAACCTCACCAGGTGCCTGGCCCTGCTGGCGCCCCTTGCTGACTTACGACACCACAGTGAGTTACACGATCATTTAAAACTACAGAAAATATTGGCTCCTTGCACCAAAACAATACAAAAATGACAACAACTCATCGTATTTAGTGGATGGAGTAAATTGTACAGAAACTATTGCAATAGGACGTTATTGAGTCTCTGTACCAGAGACTTAAACTGTTTTTATATGTTTTTCTTGTAACGATTGTTCAATAAGCTCATACCTACATACTTCAGAACATATGTGCCATTTTTTTTCATGATAAATATTGAAATCTTCTAAACTAGAATAGTAAGTTGAAGCTGTTTGCCCCACAGACTCGTTCTGGTCGGAGCGCTACGCGGGTGTGGGTGGTGGAGCGTCCCTAGGAGTGTGGCGCCGCGCGTCCTCGGTCCCTCCTCGGCGCGTGTTGCTCGCTCACGCCACCGCGGACGTGCGAGCTCCTCCGCCTCACGCCCTCGTTCTTGCACGAGCTCTCATACAAGCCAGGGCCGTGTACTCTCATCAGGTTAGACTCAAGTCCAAAGATTAGAAAGATTCCATCATAGACTTCAAAGTAATGAATTAAAATGTCTCACATAGATTTCAATTATATTAACTATAGTAAATTTGCCAAATTTTATGAACAGATTTCTGGGAACGAAATCAGGTAACGTGTTATCGATCGTTATCGATATCACATTATTAGAATCCACAATTAGGTCGCTTGGATCATGTTTCAGTTTATGAAAGTATTATTTTAAGGTCTTGTCCATATTAAATACAACACGACACAAAAATATCTAAAACAAAACGAATTGTACATCCAACTTAAAATATGTTCCGCCAAACACAACAAATGAAAGTTAGAACTTGCCACCTTCCATACTGACCATATAGACAAATAAGAGATAGTAACCTTAACCAGCCCATAATGATTCATCTTCCAGGTGTATCCTGATGAGGGTCACTCCTTCGAGCGCTCGTTCCTGCACGTGTACTCCTCCATGGAGCAGTTCTTCGACGAGTGTTTCGGTCCCGTGGAGCTCGCGGACTGGGACAACCCCGGGGGACTGTTCCCATTCAGGGATTGAAGCGACAGAGAAGAAGTTGGGCAGGCTGCTACAGGCTTAGCCATCATTGCAATTATCAGACGGTTGAAACTAGAAAAGGTCGCCGGAGGGGCTCTCTTGTTATTATTTTCCCTTAATATTTTAATCCCACTCTTAAATCTTCTCTATTTGCTTGTTAAGATCATTCTTTAACTTATAATTCTTCAAAATTTCGATGTTTGTAGAATCTACGCTATAAAATTTTGTTACTTTGGAAAACATAGCAAGCTTATACAAAGTGCTATATCCAAAACTAAAACGTCTGTAATAGTAGGAATATTTTTTAGATGACGTTTAGAATGAGTCGTAGTCTTATAAATGAACAGTACAGTTCATTTTTTAAATCTTGAACAGTCGCCACAAACAACAGTGTCATTACGTCAAATAATTTATATTTCCAAAAGCTTCTTAATGTAGTTATTTTTCCCTATCTCTAGTTTCTATTTGTCTCGTGAGTTTTTTAAATTTCTTAATAAATTAGACAATGAAGCGAATTTAAATTATTTAATAAAACATAATAATAATAATATAATAAATAATAATTTTAATATTTTATTATACATAACGTAACATCGATAACGAACTGCCAACCTCCGAAAGATTATTTGTTTTTAAACTAAACCGGTAGAAAATTATTATAAGATTTCGCACCAAATATACCGAAATAAAAACTATAGAAGTAATCGAAATGGTGCGTATAAATAATTGTGGATTGATATTCTATTAAAGCCTAATGCATATTTATTTCTAGAATGATATTCGAATTGTTTTGTATTACCTTGATGTATTATTAAAATAATAATTGTATTATGAAACAATTCGTGAACTACCTTTAATATACTTCAGAAATATTTTGTTTTATCTGCGAGTATCGTTGAGTGCAAGGAGGTGTTACATTCTTAATTGTATTTATAAAGGTTCACGAACCGTTTTCGGAGTTTTGCTCCTGTGGAATTTTCTTATGATTATTGTAAGGAATATAAATTCTATATTTTAGTGTAAAATCCATCTTTACCTATATTTATATGTCGCTTTGAATGTCATCGTAAAATTAGCTTTAATGTTTAGACAATGTTGTCCCGATGTTAAGTGTTACTAGAGCAAAATATTTATATCCGTACATAGACCATTACTGAGTATTGCTGGTGAAAATAAATAAATGTGATTAATGTTTTTATTGAGTTTTAAGCTTTTGACATAGTATCACATATTTTTATTTAATTTATAATAAATAAAGTAGTATTATATACACTCATTCTGTTTGTGATATCGTCTAGTCCAATGTAATAAGTGTTGAATTTCAAATATATTTGTAACTTAATATTATTTTATTGTATTTCTCGTAGGCGTAATAAATTAAACATTTACTTTTGTTTTCCTAGTGGATAAGATACTATTCGATGTCTTAAATGGCGTTAATAATTCCTTGTTACTTAATATATTCCAACATCTGATAGTTGACCATATCACAGACGTACTCTGCACATAATGAAGATTTTCATGTACATTGCCACATCAGGCATTTCCGAACATTGTATTTCTTAACAACCACGTTAAGAAAAGAAAGATGTAAGGGTCCCAAAACTGTAATTCATCAGATATTTCCTCAATAAACCTCTATAAAGTATATATATATATATATTTATGTGACATATTTATTTTCTATTAAATATTGTAATAAGATCATTCGTAATTTAATTTCGAAATGCTCAGCGAATCTGTGTCGTTTACGTTAAAATGTTGTTTTATTCAGCACCCAAACGGAAAAAAAATAAATAAATTGGTTTTACAAGTCATGTTTGTGTGACTGGCGATCCTTTTTAGGTCATTTTTTGAAAGCCTTTATACGTATCTTACTGAACAATAAAACATTTGAGCAGGCTATAATATCATCAGCGACGTAATTAGCCATCAGTCAAAGTAATGCGACCAATCGATTCGACGGATTCCAGAATTTTCTCTAATGAAGACGTATAGAAGATGTATCTCAATACTTTCCTTAAGATTCGAGCTATGCATGAAAAATGTTGGTTCAGGGGGTAATGAGATTCAAAGAAGAGTGCGAGACTGAAATTAGTCGGCTAGCAACTCATGACAAGCCTCTCCGCCAACTGTGATAAGCCTAAGGTGGCATCATATGCCGGTTGGCGACCAGATAAAAAGACCCGATTAAAATCTCTAGGTATTCTGGCAAACACGTACACACAATCTGTCTGTATTGTTGGGTTAAAATTACAAGACCTCATACAACTTCCATCCTTTATATTTAACTAGCTTTCCGCCCGCAGCTTCGTCCGGTTATGTCTCGTTTCCAAGAGAACCTTTCAAAAGTCTGGGATAAAAACTATCCTATGTTCTTTCTCAAGGTCAACTCTATCTCTGTACCAAATTTCATTAAAATCAGTTCAGTGGTTTAGGTGTGAAAGCGTAACAGACAGACAGTTAGTTTCCAATTTATAATATTAGTAGGGATGTAGCAGGTTCTAATAGAAAAATATAAAACCAGTGTACTTTAGACCACACGTCTGAGTTAAAACTTCTTTCGCTCATTCTATATGTTTATGGATGGATGGATTTCACGCGTATTAAATAAAACTAATTTTCCTATTAACATGATCACGGTTGCTGCAAAGTAACCGAAATGTCAGTAGTAGTTTTAAAATAATTAAAATAAAGCGTAGTAATGCGAAAATATAAGTATTATTTAGTACTTGATAAAATGAGAATAAAAAGACATTTTGGCACAACTTCTCATCGGTCAGGGAGGAATAGAAGAGGTATTATTTAATTACTGTAAAAAATAACAGTAATATATAATAATCCTCATCTTATTTCTACCATTATAAGGCCGCTACTCAGGGTATAAATGATAGTCTGTTCGTATGATTCACATTTTATTATATCTTACAGATTTATTCTCTTATATAAGTTAACATTTCCTATTCTACCGCAGACGTCTTGAAGCTACTAGCGCCATCTGTCAATGAATAGAGGAATTAATTGATGGATTAAGATAACAAAGCTCCTTAGAATTAATGTTATACTACAGGATATATATATTTTGTAGATATTTCTAGAAAATCCTTTGAAATTCTCGGTATAAGTGTTATAAAGCATATTCAATTTTACAAATATACTTCTCACAAAACAAACTTTTTTCTGTTTTATTTCACCTAGTGTTATAAAAGTTGTTATAATAAAATCAAAGTGTAACATAATATTAAGAATATATAGTTAATCTTTAATTTAAACTCCCTGGTGAGTGTTTGAGTTTGTGATTTGATGTGTTACTGCTTATATGTTATTAAATTTATAAGTATTAAAGATGTAATCAATTGACACAAAAGATTTTATATATATAGAAATATGTCACATTTATTTTTACATTTAAATTACTAAATTAACGGATTTTAGGTACTTTTTTCACAATTAGTAATTATTTAGTGTTCAATTTTTTATTAATTGTAAAAAAATTACCTTTAAATTCGTTAATTTAGAAAATATTTAAGCTCAAACTTTCTTCGGATAATCTGCTTCCAATGTAGATATGCAGAGTTATGAAATAGTAGTTACCTGGATTTGCACTATCCCCGACGATATACATACAATGTCCCGGCTCATATATTAATATATATGCCCTAACAGATAACAACGTATTATATACTCTATGTATGTATATATAAGGTTGTTATTTACCGTTTACTTCCAGCGGTTGTTCTCATAGTCCCACTTGGAGGCCAGGCCGTCCACAGGGTTCATCTTCAAGTCCAACATACGCTTCAGCTGAGCCTTCTGAGACTCCTCACTGAAGGACTCGGGCAGGGGGCTGTACACTGGATACACATATTAATATATTAGCATATAGATATATATACATACTAGAAGACCTGGCGAACTTCGTATCGCTCTATAATCTAGAAATATCTATTACGTTTTTTTATTTATATTTTTGGAGTTTACCTATTGAAGTCATAAATCTCCGTGTTTTAAAGTGCGACAGAATGATTGACATATTAGTTAGTTGGCAAATCTAATGTCAAAAAAAAAACCTTTGTATCTACAACTACTAATAAATTAAAAATTAATTAAAAAAACATTATCCAGCAGACAAAATTGTGAATCTAAACCGTTCCCAAATCCCCTTGAATACACACAAAAAATTTCATCAACATCGGTCCAGTTGTTTGAGAGAAGTTCAGTGACATAAACACTCACAGAAGAATTATATATATAAAGATATTACATGAGATGAAGATTTGACTAATGTTAAATGCAATTGCCTTTAAAGTTACACATATATATAGGATTTGGACATATTGTTCTACTCATACTTGATAAGTGATGTATTAAAGGTTTAAAGAATTTATTCTCAAAAAGACATATTCACTTACATGAGAACACACATACAAAAGTGAAAATACAAAAGTAGTCGCCAGATTATTTGGAACTCAATTAAAGATAGTAAGATATTATTACAAGTGTTACATCATTGGTAAATCCATTATTTTCTAAAATATGTTGTGAATTTAACTACTTTCTTACTTTTTTTTAGGAAGCACTATTAAGTGTAAAAAATTAAATTTAAGAGGTATTATAAATAAGTTATTATTTATAGATGTTATAATATCATCCTCACCAAACTTCTTCATGGCCATGTAGAACCATAAAGACATGGATGCCATAACAAGGGCCCAGCCGAGGGCTCCCTTCCACTCTCCCGTGGGTGCTTGGAATTCAGCAAAGGTCTGACAGAAGGAAGCTCGGTACAAAGCTTTCTTCTCCTCGAGGGTCAACTTACGCCAGTCACCCTTTTCCTTTTCACGGAGAACCTATTAACCAAAATAAAGTTTAGAATCTAGCACAAAAGATACACAATAAAGAGATAATACTCTTTTTCATCTCAATATAAGTACATATACAGGGTCACCAGTCACCCTGTATATTAAATATATATAGAACTATACATTTTAGAGATATTTTTATCGGAATAGAAAGCAGATTCTTCTATATATGTATTTAATTAAATATATATTTATAATACTTACATCATAAGAATGTATATTATTTGTATGTAGTTATATTTTGCCACATTGATAATTAGTTTTTAATATATTTGAAACAAATGTCATATACAGTTCTTATTTTAAAAATGTTCTTAGCTTTTTAATTTAAAGTAATACTAATTTATTATACTTTATATTGAAATATCACTTTGGATTTTTTTTTATTATTTATTTCTTTAAATTCTTCTTAATAATTATATGACTTTACCTCATATACCTAATGAATCATAAGTAATAAGGTATTCATATATAATGATCTTTTATATAATTATTACCATATGATATATATAAAAAATGGTATATCAATTAAACTCCTTGGTACATTAACTAAGCCAAGTATATATAAAACAAATTACCTTAACATCGGGTGTGTCAGGCCTGAACCTAACAGCGGGTAAGGGGAAGTCATTCCTGTCTACGTAGTTAGGACGGCCATTGAAACCATAACCTACCCACTCACGATCACCGATCTGAAAAATTATAACAAATGACATATATAATAATATTAACTATGAATTAAACAAGAAATGTAACTCTAGTATTGGTATTTTTATATCGAAAGTGTTAAATGAGCAGACGGCCTACTTGCTGGGCAATAGTCACCATTGCCCATGGATCTGAAACATAGATGTTGCGGATGCATTGCCAACCTTGATTGTTGAGGAAATAGAGGGATAGGGAAATAGTAGGAAAGGGCGACCGGCTCTCTCACTCATCAAACGAAACGCAGCCATTAAACACTACTTCACGCCGATCTTCTGTGAGAGGGTGGTACTTCCCCATCGAGCCAGCACATCTTCGAGCTGTAGTAACATGCCTACAGCTAGGCTCTACCACCATTATTTTTATTGCTTGGAAAAGATATTTTAGCTAAAACGTTGGTTAATCTTTACCGACCTTGGCAATTTCACTAGAAGCACGGGTTCCAACCGGCACACGGATAGCATCAAACAGCGCTCGGCGCAAAAGATGATTGGCCATTGTCTGAAAACAAATTTACACACCTTATAAATATTTATAGTATATGTGGTTTGTGGCTATATCACAAATACACTTACAAGTCTTGTTATTGGTTTTCATAGTCATGATGCTTATATAACTTACTACTTGCCATATAAAATGCCATAAATAAAATACTAAAGCCACTGTAATTGTCTACTGTATTGTCTGACAATGGTCACTCGGCCTACCCTAATCATAATAACCCATTGCATAAACTTAAATTTCATTTTCATTATTAAACCACAATAACCATATTGTATTGAGTTTGAAAATATGAAGGGTTTAATTAAAAGCGTAATTAAATGTTTGTTTAATGCAAAACAAATGCTGTAGATGAAAAATTTTATGTATTTGAACTTATAATTTGCTAAGTAATATCATTACATACAAATATTTTTATTTTTTTTGTAAGGAATTATTATAACATAGAATCTTTATCTTGTATTTTTAATAATAAAAAGTCTGTTTAGTATGGACACTTGTTTATTGTTCTTATATTTTTTTTAAAATAGAAAACTACATTTCTTATTCCGCCTTGAATGTAATATTTAATCTATTTAACATAATATCCATTGATTGAAAAGGTAATTTGTTTTTGAATATCTGTCTGTGTAGCAAATTTCTATTTCTGTACATTTATGTACCTAAGGTTTGTCACATATACTTTTGTCGAAATTCGAACCATCACTAATAAAATATAAAAGCGACATCTGTAGATAACAATTAATATATATTTTGATAATAGGTTATGTCTATCGATTGAAAGTTACATAACATTAAATTTTCTTCAACAGAACTATAATTTATGTAAGACCGTACTAGAGATTGACTTGCAAGCGTAAAAGTTATCATTGCAAAATAGCAAATAATATATACTTTATGAATACAATAAACATTTTGAATTTCGAATAAGGATAACATAGAAACCCCGTTTATCTAACTTACCGTTTAAGTTATAATAAACACCAATAAACAAAGAATACGCTTCTACAACCTCACTATTTCTTAAATAAACCACTATTTCTTACCTTTTTAACTACTATTACGTTACCTTGATATAATAAACGCAGCACTGACCACCCTAAAATCGTAAGAAAAACAGCGACCTCTGGTGTAAATGTAACCTGTAAAGTCAATACTTCATTGCGACGTTTCGTTCCGTTTCTCACAATAATAGTGTCAATAATGTGATATTAAAAATTATATACATTTTTAGAATCAAATTTAAAAACACTAATCGAATAATATAATTCTTACACAACGAATAAATATAGATAAACTAAGTTTTAATATGTATACATTATCACAAGTAAATATTAAAAAATAATCAATGTAACTATGTCCACCAAAAATATTTTTTTACATATTTATTATCGTACTTGATATAATGCTTTTTAGGCTTAACTTATTTATTTTAACCGAAGGTTGATAATCGTTTTAAATAAAGGTAAAATTTGAAATCAATGTGTTTTTTATTATAGTTTCAAATTCTATTATCATTGATTAATATATTTTTTTACACTACAACGTTTCAAATATTTTATATTCCTACATTTGTTTAATTATTTTATTTGACAAATTAACAAAACAACCATAAAAAACCTACACTATTATTTGCAAATAAATCCTCAAGCCCCAGCTTTTATTTTCTCAACCTCGTCCTGTATAACTTCTGATAAAAGAGCATACAGTTCATTCTCTGGTAATATATTTAGAACGTTTTGTTTACTTCTCGTTAAGTCTTCAAAATGTTCCGTTGGTATGCTCAATCCTCCATTACTCTTTTTGTCATCGTCAGATAAATATAGAAGTGTCAAAACCTTTTCATTGTCCGTCTGTTTATCTTCCTTTCCTTTAGGTCCTGCCCCGCCAGCATCTTGTACATTTTCAAGTAAGTTGGCTAAATCTTTATTTAACTTATCAACGTCCGCTGGTTCTTCTTCTATAGCAGGAGTATTCATTTCGTATTTATTGTTTTCTTCTTCTTCTAAATTCTTGTTTGTAACTTCATTTATTTGTGTTTGGTTCTCAACTTCTTCCTGAGCTTCTGTATCTTCTTCAACGGGAATGTTCATTGTTTGATCTTCTGGAATATTCTCAGTAGTAGCTTCCTTCAAGACCGTTTCATCATTGACTATCATATCGTTAATCTCGACGTCATTATTGTCTGGATTTATTATGTCCTCGTATTCAGCAATTTCCTGGCTATTAAACATAGTGGCTAGGAATTCTTTAAATAGTTTCTCATCAGATATTCGAAGCTGACCATCTATTTCTGTAATAGGTATTGGCTTCATTTTTTCACCAGTCAAAGGCGGTATTTTAAATGTAGTCTGTTCTAGTTCAATATGAGTGGGCTGATCTAAAAATGGATTAAAGTCTGATTTCAGAGTAGTTCTTTTCTTCGAAATAATTACAGGCTGGAGAGACAAAGAAATATACATTATTAGTTTAAAAATATATCCTCAAAACAATTCTTATGATCAAATTAGGTGTATTAAAAATACACATCTTTTAAAATCAAACAAAACTCTGCATGGCAAATAAAATAGAAGTACCTAAAAGCTGTAAATGTTTCTACAAAGAATATATTGTACCTGTTCCATAATTTCTTCAATCCAATCAGTATAATATCCCACTTTCGTGAACACTGTTGGCATATCGGGAGAACCACAAACCGGAGATCCAAAACTTATGATTCCCATCAGCTTATTTTCAACTATACCAGGACCACCTACGTCGCGCTAGTAAACGTATAGATAGATTTAGGTATAGATAAATTTATATGTTTTCAGATTACAGCAGCAAAAAAAATCATTAATACACATTATAACATACATTGCAGGCGCCTCCTCCTCTAGATATAAAACCAGCACAAAAGTTTTTTTTAGTTACGTAAGCTCTGAAAGAAAAATCTATTAGAATTAATTCTCATTTCAAGCATTTTATAAGCAGCAAATATCTTACTTGGAATAAACATCCTGACAGTCTTCTAAAGGATAGACATGTAACTCAGCGAAAGATATTATGTTCTTCCATGGACTACCGATTATCGGACTGTGCTGAAATGTAATTTGTAGCAAAATTTATTATAAATGTTTTATGAAAGGAACTTTTAACTATCCAGAACAAATCCCTAACCTCCTTAGCACCCCAACCAACTATAGTAATTCCAGATGTAGTCATAGAGAGAGTGGACTCGTGTCTGTCGAAATCAATTTTCTTTACGCTTCTGATTTTTCTCCTGAATTTCAAATGGCGTGATAGTCGGAGCAGACAGATGTTGTTCCTCAAAGTCTTTGGATCGTAGGAAGGATGGAAGTAAACCTCTTGCACAGATATAACTTCACCTCCACCATTATAAAAGCTACTGCCGACTCGAGCTGACAGAAACGCTGGGTTTTCACGGAACAGACGATTATTATATGCCCTACAAGTAAATAATTCATCATCATCATAATCCTATAAGAGCTCACTGCTGAGCAAGAACTCTTCTGTCAGTGGCGTCTAAATGCTCTAAGAAAGTACATGATTCGGAAAAATCACATTGGTAGTTACCAGGTTTCGAACCCGCACCTTCATATATGAGAAGCGGGCCTTTAACTTATAGGCCACCACGACCTCAGCAAAAGGAATATACCTAATAAGTAATGTCACGTTGTATATTTAAGTGATACATACAATTGTAAACATGAAGAGGCTGTGATTATAAGATCTGACTTGATAATGGATCCGGCGCAATGAAAGTTATTAAATATTTGTATTGTTGCCATAAATGGAAAATGTTTGATTTTGGTCCTTTCTCCTTTGAATATTCTGCGACCACTAGACTCTGTAACAATCATGTAACGATTATTATATGGATATTACGATTTTTGAATATTAATAATATAAAATTTGAACTTATTACCCCAGAATTCGCTTTCTTCTGTAGTAGTATTGTTTCCAACAATCTTAAATGAATCATATGTGACGTTGGACGATTTGTCGTTTTTATTCATAGCCTTCAGAACATCCATATTAATGTTAGTGTACACCTTATCAACGCTGTACATTTCTTTTAAAAGCTGTAATTTTCTTAAGAACTGTTCAATATAATGAGTAACATTTTCATCACTTTCATTTTCTTCATTATTTTCATTCACAGTAGTACCCTCAGCTAGTACATCATTTATTATTGCTATAAAATCTGTTTCATTTATATTTTTGTAGCTCACTCTGGTTTGTTTTGCAATTTCCTTTAAATTGTCATTATCTTGCAGCGTTAGTGACGTAAAATATTTGTGTACCTTGGAATAGTCTTGTGATTTTGCTTTCACACTACCATTCAGCTTAAGAAGTAAAAAAAGTTTATTAATTGTGTAACGAATTATAGCTTCTGTTGCAGCGATGTTGTTTTCTTCAATTGGCGGCAATCGTTTAAGACAAAGACTTGTTGAGAAAAGATTAAACAATGTACAAACTGATACGATGCTATAAAGATGAATCATAACAAAAAGAAATGCTAAAACTTAAACAGTTAAGAAATATACAGAAATAAAACAAATATATTTTGAATAAACGGCATTGATAGCTTGAAAAAAATTGAAATGTTAAAATTTATTTCATATTTATGACGCCACATAAATATAAGGTATAAAATATTTCGCTGCAAATAACGCAGGTTTGAGAAGTAACAGAAATAATGTTAAAAAATAAGAAATGTCAATAGTAGTACTTATTATATTAATAGATATTTACAATATGTGTACTTCAAGTGTCCATTGTAATATATTTTATGATTTTAATGAAGAAATAGAATCCATGACAAATGAATTATTTACAAGTTTAGGTCTCCAGAGCAATTTTCATTTGTTTGAGAATGTCCAGCATTTACTGGAAGCGCATTTTAAATTAAGAAACATATCAGAGACCAATATTGAAATATATAATATTATGAAGCAAGTCAAAGATCCTTACAACAAAGGAATTGATGATTTCTTAAAAATCGATCAAGTTCTTAATGAATTGTCTTATAATGGATCGTATTTAACAAAAGAAACGACGTTTGAGAACATCCAAATTGATTGTATTTTTGAGAACATTTCTTCTTTGGTATTTTCGCATAATTTTGGATCTCAAAACGAGACAAGAAGAGATACAATTGATAACAATGGAAGTATCAATGAATCGCAAGAGATCTTAGATTCCAATGAAAATAATATAGATTTTGTGGAGGATTTTTTGAATAAAATTGATAAACTCACAATCAACGACTTCCTGAATAAAGATTCTGATTTGTCCATACAAAAAACTAGAAGATTCGAAAAGAATCGATATTATGACTTAAAAATATGGAGTAAGGAACAATATTGAGTTCATATTGTTTATTATGTACAATATTTTTATAATTAATGAAGACAAATTAATTTAGGTGAAAAACCAAAGCGAAGATTATACAAAGGCGAGGCAACCGGCATTAACGACTATCCGTTCATAGTGAGTGTTCACGTCAAAGATGAATTCAGTTGCTCTGGAAACATCATCAGTAAAGCTTTTGTACTCACATCAGCTTCCTGTTTACAAAGGTAGGTTTTTGGGATTACTTAAACGGTACAAAACAACTCGTGTTTTTATATAGAAAGGTGTGAATATTACTAGTATGGCAGTTTTTTTACAGTGTTTACAAAAATCGTCTAGTAGCACACAACCTACCCAGTGTTGTGATAAGAATTGGCAGTGACTTTATCTCAAAATACGGTGAAATTGTACCCATTGTAACAATCTTCTTCCATCCGAAATATAATCCTACGTATTTGAAAAACAACATCGCAATTCTCAGAATGGAGAAACATACGTATTTTAGAACGAACAGAAATATACGAAGAATTGATTTCGACGATAAAAAAAGAAAAGTTCTGGAGAGCTCACATCAAATCACGCTTCTGGGTTGGGGCTCGAAACTTGTGAGTTTATATATAAATCAACATCTTGTAGTAAATACAACAATTTCTATATTTATGTTGGTATTTCAGCCGGTTGAAAAAATTAACAGTAACGAACCACTCGCATACACAGATCTGAATATCTACAATCATGAGAAGTGTAAACAAATTTATTCAAGGTATCACGTATTGAAGATACTAAATTTTTTTTTGTTATACAATAAGATATCTTTTGATAGTATATTTAGTGACTATATTACAGGAACAAATTTTTGCGCTGGATTTATTTTTAAAGGCGGTGGTGCGTGCATTGTAAGTTTATTGGCTTTTCTAAAAATGTTCAGATGAGTTATATACTTTAAGTATTGTTTCTTAATGATATTCATTTTGATGACAGAAAGATGACGGTGGCCCAGCCATAGTCAACGGTATACTAGTTGGAGTTGTCAGCTTCGCTCCAACAATTTGCGGAGCACGTAACTCACCGACTGTTTTTACAAAAATTAGCTGCTATAATAAATGGATTCGAAGCATTATCAATGAAGTACGTAATATACAAGAAAACTAACTATAAATACACTTGTTTTTCGACAATACATAGTTATTTGAGCTCTATTTAACTTTTTAGGACATCTCAATGCAATGGAACATTACAGTTCAAGAAGAAACCTTGTCACAAGGAAACGATACGCAAAACTTTCTTACCAAAAAGAATGATAATGAAAATAGTTTAAAAATTATAGGGCCTAAAAACTCAGAGCATTACATGCTCCGTGGACAAATTGATTCTATAAAAAGATTAAATAAAAAATCAACATCACAAATATCATACGAGATTCAGTTAAAGGTCAACAATAAAGATAAAATAAATAACACCATGAGATACACCAAAACTTATGAAGACCAAAAAAATGGTCAAAAAACGAATGTAGAGTTACCAGATAATTACAACTTTTACAGTGTTGAAGGAGATTATACAGACGAAGAAGGATTGAGCATTGAAGATATTAAAGAAAATACACAAAAACAAGAAAATACAACTACTCAAGACGCTGAAATACATTCTGAGCGAAAAACTGATGTACAAAAAGAAAAAGTCATAGAGGAACATTTTATTAATATTCTTGAGAACATTTTAATGATATCGACGAAAAAACAATTTAGAGATTATTTACGTCAAGTTACTTTGACTTTGAAATCGACTTTGGCAACACGTAATATAAGAAATGGTGACCCTATAATGGATAGAAAGAAACAAGTAAAGTCGACCAATGCTATGTCTTCATCCTCGACCACGGCAAAGCCTTTGAATATATACAAAAAAATTATTGACTTCTTTACCAAAAACTGAAGTTCAATAACTCTCTCATTATGTTAGTTTAATATAAATAATTCCTATTTAATTAAAACTCCGTTTCCTGTACTTAGACTTAAGAATAAAATTTTACATAATTTGATATACTAATAATTAAATAATTTGCCTACTCGTTACACGAAAACTCATTGATATAGTTATGTAAAAATTAAATTTGTTATCAGTATTTGCAAAAATCATTTCTTTTTCGTGTCAATAAAGAAAACTGTTAAACAAAAGAATTCTTATATTGTATTTTCTTGAGCTCGTATGTGTTAAATCATATATATTATGTGCATAGATTCAAAGAATTGAATCGTTTTCAATTTATTCAGAGGATGACGGGAATTTTAAAGAGTTTAACAAAAATACTATAAATTATTTTAATTTTGCAACTTTCTTTATGACACCATTATATTAATCTATAGATTTCAGTAAATGTTTTCCATGTTATAAGTACGAATGAAACCTTAATTTTCACAAATAATATATCTAACCTTTTTATAAAAGTCACGTTAAACCTCTATTCATATAAAAAATAAATACAATCACAATCACTGTGACTGGAGCAATAACAAAACGTTTCTAAAATGAATTCCGTGTTGAAATTTCCCTATATCTTTAAACCAAATGTCCAAAACATCAGAACAACTTATTGGTATTGTAGGACAGGTTACAGAGATGTAGTGGGTCACGGTGTTAATGGGATAGCCAGCTACAAAGATGACGCCCATTTCCCATTCCCAGCTGTGAGGTTTAAGGAGAACACTCAAGACATATGTGTAAGAGAATATAATATGTTATAATAATGATTAATCTAAGTCAATAAACAAAATTATTAAAAAAATACCTGGTTACGTCTGATTTTAACGTCACACTAATGAAGTTGACAATTGATATAGAAAAAAGACTAAATGTGGAAAAGTAGTACGAATGAGACAAATTGTTACAACAATTTTAAAGCTATAACTCGGGGTAATCGGAGTCGGAATTTTGTAGAAATTGGCTACGAAACTCCAGGTCTTATATCAGAGTGACCAACTCATAATAATTTACGGATTTTTTCTTCAATATACAAAGGCTCTTCGCGAGAAGGAACGTTGTGATTGGCGGATGCTCTGCTGCGAGGAGAAGAAGGCTCTGTACCGCGCCTCCTTCTGCCAGACCTTCGCGGAGTTCCAAGCACCAACTGGCCAGTGGAAGTTCATCTTAGGATGGGTGTTCGTCGTTACTTCCTTCACATTCTGGGCAGCAATGTTTTATCATCATTACGGTATGAATATTTTCTATTTTTGTCCTATGCCCATTATATCTCTTTTTCTGGTTAACTTTTATTCAACAAGTGACAATTTTTTTTTGTGTATCTACAGTTTTTGCAACATTATTCCCTCTATAATTCAATTTGGTATTATTTCAGTCAAATCCGTAATAGTAAAAGTTTATGTACATTTTTTGGTCCAGTGTATGAACCATTGCCAAGTACATTCTCCAAGGAGTCTCAGAAGGCTCAACTGCGGCGTATGTTGGAGCTACGAGTCAATCCCATAGACGGCATTTCATCACTCTGGGATTACGACAACGACAAATGGCTGGTAATGATAATATTATATAATGGATTAAAGAAACATTACCTCCTTTTTTAAAAGAAACATTACATTTTTAACCTGGATTGAATGTAAATCTTTTTATGAAACCAGAACTGATTAATCCTATAGCAGAAGTAGTATTTATTACAGCCCCTGTTTAAAATGTAACTACGCATAATACTACCTACTTATATTTACTAAACGTAATTTATTTATCATCATTACGAAAACTATCACATGACTTAAAACGGCATATTGAGTATACACGATTTCACAAAAAAGAAAAAATATACAAAATACATGTATTTAAAGTTAGTACTATAAATGTGGTGAAAAAAAACCTACAAAAACAAATTTCTTCATAAATTCAATGATTAATATAACTTTTTCTCTGTTTCAGTGAGATCCGTATATCAAGAAAAGCTCCAGCATATTTGCTTATTTATTCCTAATAATGTGACTTAGACATTAATTTAATGCAACGAGAATAAAGTGTTTCGTTTTAATTTTGATATATTGTTTTGTTTCTTGTTTGATTAATATTGTCACATAAACTTACATTATCGTTACAGTTTAGATTTAAAAATAATTTAATTGATATTCTAAATTCATTATATACTTCTTTTTTTGATGTAATCGTATCTTAGATTCATAACTGGTTATTGACTAGCTAGACAGACTTAACTGGAAGTTTATAGATAAGAAGAATGCAAAGGGATTAAAAAAAAACACTTATTATTGGGTCAACGTTTTAATACAATAAACTATTCTGAAGTTTTGGTCTCATTTTAACATATACCTAATTAAACCGCACTTTCACTCTGCTGTTCAACAATAAACTTATTATACCTATTATGGTTTTTCATTGCCAATAAATACATTTCTAGACAAATGTTTACAACAAATTAAAAAGATATCCTCTTTATTTCGACACAAGACATGTTCTCCTGACGCAAGCGGATTTTAGAATTTTCTATAATGATGGATATTTTGTTTTTTAAAACATTTATGTTTTTTGTTCATCTCTTTCGTCTGTTAATGGTAAGAAGGTGTACGAACTAAATATGGTCAAAATCCACAAATTTTCTTCATCCTGTTTTTACGGTGCTAGAGCCTAGCTGTAGTCCAGTCAATACAGTTCGAACATATATTGGCTCAACCGGGGAAGTGTCACCCTCTCACAGAAGATCGACATGAAGTACCTTGTTTTTAAGGGCTGAGTTTCGTCCGATAAGTGAGAGAGCCGTTTGCCCTTTTCCTTTTCCCACCCTTTCCTCTCCTTTTTCCACAATCAAGGTTGCCAACGAATTCACAACACCCTTTATGTTGAACATTTCCATGAACTACAGTGCCTTCAATCAGGTAGGCCGACTGCTTATTAGCTGCCTTTAAAATTGAAAAAAGAGTTACGAAGCTGTATACATACATTGCAAAAGATTGTCAAAATAATTACAATACACCTGTCTAAATACACGTACACATAATGAATACAGGTGATATCCTAAAATGTTTAATCATTAAAAATTATATGTGTACATACATGAACCTCATTAGAACTGTTAGACACGAAATAATATTTTGTCAGGATGCGAGTGAAACCGTGCGTGAAGGAATTATACGATTAATATATAACAACGAAGGATCCTAGTAGGGTTTGTTTGTTGTTTACAGTTTATAGTGAATCATAACAAAATGAGGTGTGCTGTGAGTATTTATTAAAACATTTAGTTCATAGAAGCGATGATTAATAACAATCTAGTTCTTCATCTCAGTTTGAATCTACCTATAATAATATGTTTAACTCTTTTTAGGTAGCCATTGTCCTAGCCTTTATTGGCATGTCCTTGGCCAATCCCGTCCCATCTGGTTTAGGGGGTCTGAGTAAGTAATATATATATATTTTACCATAAATGTAAAGACAATATTTTACTGTCAAATAGGAAATGACTTAAAAGTTAATAGCAGTTTAATAAAAGTAGTAAAGTAGTGGAGTAGATATATATTTTGTATAATAATATTTGGAGAATACAAACTGACGCCAAGTCGTCCCTTTGCAGTGAAGGAAGGTTTGAGACGAGCGCGGGCGAGGCGGTCATAACACGCCCTAACCTTTGGTTAAGGCTGCTGTAATGTACTGAAGTTGACTTTCTTCCACAGCCTACCCGCAGCCAGTTCTCGGTGAGTCTAGATCCAGCTTCATCAATCACGGAGTTTCTATTCCCGTTGTCAAAGTACCTATCGTGAGCCTCCCTATACTACCAATAGTAAAACCCGTCTACTCCATAATAAAACCTGTCGTCTTGAAAGATTACGGCTACGGTTTGCACTAACAATACATTTTCATGTTTCTGTAAAATTCTATAAATCAATAAAACATTTACGACCGCTGTGTTTTATTTTTGTTTCATTTCGCAACATAATATCGGATTTCACAAGGGAAATCAACATCCGGAGGTTAAGACAAAGTAAAATTTAATTATAAGCTGATCTAATGATCGTCCTTCCATTGTGTTTACTTATATCATCTACTTGTGTAATAAAAAATGTTGTGGCCCACATAGAAAGCTCGGTGTCTGATATTTCAGCAAAACAGATTAGTCGAGAAGATGAGAGTAAGTATAACTAACTAAAAATCATTTAGTTAAGTTAAAATTTAAATTGAAAAATCTCTGTGATTAAATATATATTTTAATAATTGTGATGGAAGCTAAACATAAAGCAATGTAATCTAAGATTTTCGCATATATTCATTGAAATAAAACTAATATTTTTCGGATTTACTACGCGTTTATAATAATTTTAAAGAACATAACCCCTCACATTTCGTCAGCCGGCGATCACGGTTGCTGCAAAATAAACGAAACGTCGGAAATATGTAGTTAAAAATAATTATAAACTGATAGTAAATCCTAAAAATATTAAGTTTATTTAAAAAGTATATACTAAGTATATCCTTCCGAGAACTGTAAAATAATTGTTTTTTAACGATAAACATGACATTTTTGTTATATTGTATACAAGTTGAAAACAAGTTATTAATGTTAAGTTACGTTGGTTGCTAAAAGTTTGCTTCATTTAGACAACTTAACACTTTTATATTAACTCGACCATAAATCCTTTTATCATCAAAAAGTGAATCAGTCACTTGTCTATCAATCACTGATATTGTAACAGTGTTGGAAAGGCTTGTCTTGTATACAAACACTTTGGAAGTGTCAAATACCATTAAATTACAAGTATACTTATATCTTTCACAAACTCACCACTCCTGACTTCCTATTGTAAAATTTAATGTGACTCCCATAAATAAAGGAGTACAAATTTTTTCGTTCATGATTCAGAGTTTTTTGTATTCAAAATAGAGAAATGAAATTCTTAAATTATTTCCGCATTTTATATCAAAAATCTAATTTCATTTAAGACTAATGTTCAATTTTAAATTGATTATTTTTTTACCCCACGGCTGCCAGGAGGGTATTAGAGGTATTTCGTCTTTTCAGCCTCTCCTAACAATCCCACTCTTAAAAAATAAAGCAAAAAGAAAAGGCTTTCAATCTTTCTCCTATACGAGTACATATGCAACTTAGTTGCCACCGCGATTGCAAATCTATCGACGCCGAAGTTTATAGACAGTTCCTGACGCTACTTACTGAATTAAATATGTTCCCATTTTAGATATAAACTAATTTAAATTTTATATAAAAGCTGAGCTTCTAGTTAAACAGATCTGTCTTATATTTAACTCAACATAATTTATGCCACTAATTGTTCATTACACTTACGCAGTGGAGCACGAGAAGATAATGAGAAGTATGAACGATAGAGAGTGGCAGTATGAAGGAATACCCATTGAGTTGCCCCTCCGAAGAAGCGAAACTGTAAAGAAGACAACTCCCAAAAAAAAGATTATCAGTAAGGGTACAATCTTAGTATTATTCATGTAAGCTTCGATAACTCTTAATTATTACACAGACAACCCTTGTGAAATTGTGCAATTCAAAGTTCATAATCATATATTTTTTACTTTATATCTACGAAATTTTAGAATTCTAACTGATGAAGAAACAGCAAATTCCAATTACAATTCCATTTCATGTTCGAAAAGAATGCTTGCCTCCTTTTTTCCTCATTAGATAATATATAAGTACCTACTTATTATAATATAGTGAGAATACGATAGTCTTTAAAAAATCTACAAATATTTTTTTCTTTGAAATATTTATAAAAGTACCTGTGTGTTAATATAAAATAAAACTCCACTTAATATAAAATATAACTCCATTTAATCTTATACAAATGGAGCACCTAATTCCTTGGAACTTGTTCAAGTATCAACCATAGACCCGCCTCTGGATCCCCGTTTTCGTCGTATCTACAACGCGGATGAAGTAGCATCTATTGAAGACTATCCCTTCTTAGCGGCTCTACTCGTCAACAAACAGCTTTGGTGTGGCGGCGCCATCATAGATGGAGACACTGTCATAACAGCTGCACATTGTTTGCAATTGTAAGAAATTAACAATAATCAAACTATTGGGAATTTTCTTTGGATAGTAGTATCATAACAAAAGTAGGTAATATTATCTTAAGCTCGAGTTAAGCAAAACGAAATGATCAAATAACGTGCTCGTGTTGAAAATAAACAACGCAAACAATACAATCAATTTTATTTCATCATAAATGTCACTAATTAAAAGAAAGCAACTATTATTTAACGACTTTTATACTGAGTTTGATAGCAACAAAAAAAACAATCTACAATAAATGAGTACAGGCAACTACGTTAAAGTTTTCCTATTTTATCTTATATTTCATTCTAATTTTTAAAATAATATTTATTGACCATTGCAGACAATACAACAACCGTTTCTTTCGAGAATACGTGAAGATGTTGTCAGTGCGAGTAGGTTCATCCAACGCAACTTATGGTGGAGAACTGTACCGAGTTACCGAAATATTCTTTCACCCTAATTACAAGCCAAGTACTCTGGAATTTAACTTGGCCATCTTAAAACTCCATAAAAACATAACACCGGACACAGCTAACACACATGTAGCACAGATTGATTACTCTAGTGATAAACATGTACCCACCGATAGTAATATTACGTTTCTTGGCTGGGGCTCCGTCATGGTAAGAATACTTTTATATTAACATAATGTAACTAGCAAGAAATAGCAAAAACAATGTTATAGGGCGTCGGTGGCCTTGGAGGACAAGTTCTTCTCCAGAAAATAGTTTTGCCGGTCTACGATCTGGCAGATTGCCAGGAAATTTACGGAAGGTAGACTAATATTTCCAACTGTTTAATGAGTTTATTAATTATTATTAATTGTTAGCTAATTATCTTCACAGAGATCTAGTCACCAGAAGTAACTTCTGCGCGGGATATATAACTTTGGCTAAAAACGTTTGCAATGTAAGTAACACAAGTGATCTTAAAGTACATATGTTAAAAAGTTCAAGTAATTAAAACATAAATTATTAAGGATCAGTAGAACCTATCCCTACTAATATTATAAATGCGCAAGTAAGTCTGTCTGTCTGTTACGCTTTCACGCCTAAACCACTGAATTGATTTTAATGAAATTTGGCGCAGAGATAGTTGACTTTGAGAAAGAACATAGGATAGTTTTTATCCCAGACTTTTGAACGGTTCTCTTGGAAACGCGATATAACCGAACTCCACGCGGGTGGAAAGCTAAATGTCATATAAGGTTCCAAAACATGTAAAGGTTATATTTTGTGTGCAGCACGATGCCGGAGGTCCAGCTATAATGGACGGTCTATTAGTTGGTATTCTCTCTTTCTCATCCAAACGCTGTGATGAACGTGACCAGCCAGCCGTCTTCACAACAGTAGGAGCCGTCGCTAACTGGATCGAGACGCTAGGAGATAGGCAGATCAAACTCACGTAGGTTTTGATGTAGAGATAATTCACCAGACCTTATTAGACTGACCTTTATAGCCCTGTAAGAGTATTTCTTACTGGTTAATATAGTATCACATAGTCTTAACAAAAGGAAAGCACTGTTTTCCTTTTGTTCAGACTGTTCAGACAAAAGGCCTCTAATTCACCATGAAAATTTTTCTTATAAAACATTCACTAAGTTGATAACGTAATTATTGAAGAAAAATGAGGATTAAAGAAACCCTAGCCTCTCGACGTTTCAATATTTATATGGCATATGATTTAAATTTTCATTCAACATCTACGTCTAAAATTGATAGGGATTCAAAAACCTTTAAATTTCTTTAAGATTTTAGGTTCTGATAAGCACGAGTGAGATAAAAACATTCCAAATTATCTAAAAGATAACTAATACGACAGACGAGCTGCGTGATAAATCATAGTTTTGACAGCTACATACTATCTATATAAGAATAATAACAAAATTATATTGTCTTATATTACTAAGAGTTATTATTTTTCTTCTAGGAAAGAAACCATAAAAAACGCCGACTAACACCAGAAGTTGGAATGAAACAAGAATATCAATTTATTTATATATTTCTTCTAATACTGTACAAGCAATTGAGACTACAAGTAACACGCAAAAATAAAAACATTAATATTAATTTTAAAACTCCATATATTTCTATTCAACATATAACATTGAATAACATACAATTTAATAATATATATTTCATTTTTTTTGTGTTCGTAAGCGGATCCTCCAAGGTCACAAATGGAATGATATCGAGCTGATTATAATTAAATGTTTAGGATAATAAATATTAAATGGCTTTAAGCTATCTGTATATACAGCATATGGCAGCCATTTTGTTTGGCGCCAAATTTGACGCGCGCCAAGTGGCTACGGATTATAAGTGACAACTAGGTTCGCGACGGTTTTAAAAGCGAAAAAAATGTAACATTAATTATTTTGTTTCGCTTATTCTAAGCGGTAGTTGACGTGAAGTTCGGGCTTGATGTCGTACACAAGATTCAGGATGTCTGTGATCACCTACAGTTAAAGATATATATTAATATGTGCTCAATAAAGTTAGGTAGAAAATATTTATAACCACTATAGAAAGAGGTAACAAAGATATATAATATAGTATGTATGTATGTCTTACCGATTCTTGTTGCATCTGGACCAATTTGTTCATCTCATCGATTTTCACTCGGGTCTCAGCATCAATTTTAGCAGCGACTCCCTCCCTTGTGCCCATGTGCTGGAATATTATAACAGAATTTATGACCGACATACTCATAACAACAATAACAGCATATAAAGAATAATAAAGAATTTAAATCCTTACAGATAACACTTAAAATCTTTAATTTACATTTACTTCATTTACACTTATAATTGACTTAATTTTCATTGACCAAATATTTGTTCTCCCATGTTTTATATAATAATATAAGTAATAATCAACATCTCAATGAAGATTATTCAAGTATAATGTAGAAGGATTTAATTTCTTGTATTTTAAGCACATAAAATCCTAAAACCTGTACATATGTGGCTGGGATTAAAGACAAGTTTTACCTTATGTAAATCCAAATCTACAGAAATATTTTATATAATACAGTATGTTTTAAACATTTGATAAAGGAATATTAAACTAATCTCCACACATATATCTCTTTGAGTTTGTTATTAATGTGTATGGAGTAAGCTACATAGTACCGTCGGTTCTCAACCAACCTTGGCTTCGAAGTCTTTAAACTGCCTCTCCCTCTCCTGTCTGTACTTCTCAACCTCATCTTGGGCCTCTTCCTTGGCCTGCTTTAGACGTTTTGCTTTTCCTGATAAATTTAACACATGATTTCTAAGTTTCAAGTAAAATATGTGAATGAATATGAAGAATATAAATTGTTTCTTTGAAAATCCTAATTACATTGACAATTAAACTTTAATAATGTAGAAATATTAATAAAGTATTAAAAAACGTATTTACACCTACATAGTTTTACAAATGTATGAAGATTGAAAGTATTGAGTATCATAATAAATATTATTCCTAATAAGAAAATATAAACCCGATTACATAAAACAATATGTAACCTTAAAGAAATACAGAATTCTTAAACTAAAAGACCTCTTTTGAGCTGGAATGAAGTAAAGTCGTAGATCAAGTAATGACTGATATGTCTATATAATAGAAAAAATCTGTAATATGGACATAACAAAGATACTTAGCAAAAACTTAAAACCTTTTTTAAGCAATGAGAATAGCTCTATTTCAAACTGTAACTTTGTAAATTACTAAAATGCCCATCGACTTGTTAACTACTTCACTGGCCCTGGCCCTTCAACGTGAAAAAGAACGCAGTATATATCACTTACGCTTCCTGGCCTCGGAGACCTTCTCTGCTGCGCGTTTCTCAGCAGCCAACAGTTGCTGGATCCCCTGTGTCTGACTCGCCATTTCAGATGATACACACAAAAACTATGTCGAGCGAGAATCAAGACCGAGACAAGAATCAATAGCGAGAACTAGACGTGACGAAAATAGTCATATGATTGGTTTAGTTCCATTATGTTGTCACGACTGGCGCTGTCATCGGCTCGTGCTTTGTTGACGCTACGTAGAATGAAACGTATTACTGAGAAATTAGTATAAAAAATCAAATATATATAACAAAACCCTTAAGTAAAAACAATTGAAAGTAATAAATATGTTAAATAAGCTTTTATAATTTGAATATGAAGAATATTTTTTGATTAGTTTTCATTTTAAACAGTATGAATATTGCGTGGAACGACAAAATTTACAATGTTCTTATTCAATATTATCTATTCAGAAAAGTAAAAAGATACTTTTATTTCATAGATAAAATATTAACTTAACATATTAAGTTAATTGAAATAAACTATTTTCGAAATACGTTTATAATTTCGAAAACAATTTATAAAATTTTAAATTTCTTTCTGCATATCATATCGAAATAAAATTAACTATAACGTTAAGTACCTTTAGCCATATTCTACATAGTCTGTTTCGTATCTGACATTTAAGACAACATAAATGCAGTTCATCATTGACATTTGTTTGTATTCATTTATTAATTATTTTACAATCGTCAATGATTGAATTAAAAGGAGTAGCATTTTCCAATTTAGGTTTTGAAATATACTAGTCATAATTAAATATCACATTGTTTAACTTATGAATAAACGACTGTTGAATGATTGCTGACTTGTATAGTATTTGTTTCCCGACTAGCCTCGAAAAATTTTTTTATGCAGAAATAAAAAAGACACATCTGTTTCTATTAAATTTTAAAACAATAGTACATATAGAGAATCAATCAATTATATACTTTTTTATTTTAATATCTAAATAGCTAATGATTAATGTTTCATTTTATCAACTGAAATTTATTTGCGTAGTTGAATTATTGAGGCTCTTGAATTTAGAACAGCTAGTGAAGAAGAGGACGACTCACGATGACTTTATATATTGTAAAATACGAAACTCTTAGCATTTTATGTCGGAACTAACAACATAACTAAATCGAATTATGAAACCAAACCAGCCAGGAATTTGGCATTGCAGAGCCTGTAACAATAATACGATTGTAGTTTCAAATCCTACTTGTGTGAATAAATTTGTCATTCTATAATAATTGATATTTCATTTCTTATTCAAATACATATATTTATTCGTTTTAAAATCAAAATTAAAGAATTTAAAATACCTACATCTGAAGATATTAAATTCCTTTCAAATAAGTACATATCTACTTATGTTCCTATCTGTGTTCAGAAGCATAAGACAAATATACTGTTTTATGAGAATCTGGTGAGAATTTCTTTTGTGTTATAATAATAAACATCATTCATTCTTAATTACTCACATATATTAATAATATTATACATTCTAATAGTACAGATTCCTGCATTCGTAAAAGTAAGTTGATTGATTGAAATAATTTAAATGGTAATGATATATGTACTTAAAAGGTTTGAAAATTGAAAACTAATTGGAATTGCATATGTGTTTACATTTTATGCAATAAACATATTATACGAATGTTTGTGCATTGAATGAATGTCGTGTGCTTGTTTATTATTAAATGTAGAAAAAAAACATGACTCTTTTTAAACTTTTATTTTTAACTAAAATTCTGAAAGTTGAATTGGAAAAAAAAACGGTACGAATGTTGTTGTGTATGACTTTACGTAACACAACCAATAGATGGCGCTACTAGTTGGTTACCTCATATTTTTTAAGGCCACAATGGTTTCTCACTAAATACAATTCCGAAGTCCACGCGTTCGAAGTCACGTAGAAACACTAATGTAATATTAATAGCGCTCACAATATTTTAAGCACCATAACCTTTTAGAGCATTGACTGCACTTCACAAATAATATTTCTATGTGAACCCGTTATAAGCAATTACAGAATTTAGCTTCCATTTTATTATAGGTTTTTGTTATTTCAGTCTTTCGCATAGACTTAATTGCAAAAAGGAAATATTTTTCCTCATTTCAGATAAAACATCATGTTTATTTTAAAACGATTTAACCACAACAAGGAAAGTTTATTGTGCAACAATATTGTGATTTTCACATTATAATGTTTAAATAATTAACTGAAGTTTATTTACGAGATGAATTTACTGATATATACGAAGGAAATTGTTGCTAAAATTTAAATAGAAGAGTTATAAAACAAGTTTAGTTATTCAGATTAGTGATGTGCCAGATATAGAGAGGATTTGTTACCGTTATTTTTAAGAGCATCTTTACTCTACTCTACTTGAATATATGTAATTATAAGTATGTTTTTTTTTGACGAATGTATCTCTTATTCACTTAAATATATTTTTATCGTTAATTCACGATCCCTAACCCCTACTAAGTGTTCTCATTGTCAAATTATCAGGCAATTTCTTGTTTCTTACTATTATATTCTCGTACATGACACTCGACGTATATAACGTATATGAAATGAGTACTTTCCGTGTTAACTTAACAAACTCATGATAAGAATCCTCCTATCTAAGAGTATCGATTGTGAGTCTCTAAATGAAGTGTATTAATTATCTACTGTTGTACTATTCTGTTAAATTAAAATAAATATTATTTGCAAACACTCTCTTCATCAAAGTATTGTTCATCACTTCATATTGATTGATAATGAGCAAATTAAATACAACTTAATGAGATCTACCTTTCGCGAGTATTCATTTAAATGAAACTAATATTTTCCGGACGTACTACGCCTACTTTATTATTGTAACAACTACATACTCCCGACGTTATCACGGTTGCTGAAAAGTAACCGAAACGTCGGGAGTATGTAGTTGTTACAATAATAAAATACGCAGAGTATAATCTGAAAAATAATTAATTTCATTAACAACTTGTACTTATTATTCTTCTATTGATAATTGACTGAATATTCTGGTCACCGATCAGGCTACAAAAATGGAATGTTTTGAGAAATACCTCAAATATCACACGAAATTAACGAAAAGGAGAGCACATATTAAAAGATCTGGGAATTACTGTGAATCGGTGTTCAAACTTCAAACAAACAATCTCTCATTCCAAAGGTAAATGATGTTTGTAATAAAATAATGTAAACAAAATAGGATTAAGAAGAATTTTAATGAAATATCCAGCTAATGTATCTTAGATTACGTGTATCGTCATAAAATCTTGGTGTGGGATTTATTTAATTTTTTTATTATATTTTTTTATATTTCACATATTTTTAAAACATATCCGAATTGATGGCTGAAGATTGACAAGTTAATTTCAAAATTCACACAACAAATCTCCATTTTAATATATCCTTAATATCATTATTTTTAAATAACCATAATAATTATGTTCTAATAATAATATATGCAGATCATTACAATGAACAGGAAAACGTGTGTGTTGACGTAACAGTGCATAATGTCTTGTAGTACGATTACGTTACCCTTAATAACATATATACTTAATATATAAGGCTTCTATTTAAGTTGAACGCTCCTAAAGAAACCCCAGTAACGATTAAAGTTAAAAGTAATCGCACAATCGGATAAGTCATTCAACAAGAGGGGTACAATCGGAGTATACCTACTAATATTATAAATGCGAAAGTAACTCTGTCTGTCTGTCTATCTGTTACGCTCACGCCTAAACCACTCCACTAAACCACTGATTTTAACGAAATTTGGTACAGACAGAGTTGACCTTAAGAAAGAACATAGAATAGCTTTTATCCCAGACTTTTGAAAGGTTCTCTTGGAAACGCGATATAACCGAACTCCACGCGGGCGAGGCTGAAGGCGGAAAGCTAGTTGAGAATTAAATGCTCAGGGTGAAGGAATTCTAGAGAGAGGAGCTTAGACAGTGGAGGTGAGCGTTTAACGCGCGTTAGATAGGGCCCCCTTAAATTTACACCTGGCTTGCAAGTCCCAGGGACTGTTGAAGCTCCTCTCCCTGCAACGGTGGAATACATTGAATGCTGAGAAGTTTCGTCTCATATGTAAAGGCACAAAATTATAATTAGACAATATACATATTAAAAGAACTTATATATTTATAGAACTTTCAAAAGTTCCATTCGTAGTAATAATGTCGTGACGTTTCTAAATCAGTTTAATGCATTTTTATTTTTCAAATATACAGGGTGACTGGTGAATTACTATCAATATTTAAGGAGGATACTCGGTACATGATTCTCATTCGAATTATGTAAAAAAAATAGGTACTTAATTTTTGACAAATTTTCCGTATAAATAAATAAAGTGTTGACACGTTCCAAGTGTTCCAAGTGTGGACGCGTGCGGCGACGTGCTGATACAACACAACGCCGCCACACTCGTATGTGTGAGTGTGGGTGTATACCTAATCTGTAGGGTGTTTACACGATGCGTAATTAATTACATAACTTTTGGTTAACTTTACTTAGAAGTTTATTAATATTTATGTTATATTAATTTTTATTTTGTCATATATGATCGTCACAAATCACGTCCTCAAATATCGATAGTAATTCACCAGTCACCCTGTATACAACTGCTACGTAAAATAAATAGTTGTCAAAACTAGTAATACTTAAAAATTACCAGTTCTAAATGTTGTCTACATATTAAAACTGTTCATATTAGAACGTATATTCAGTGATCAAAATTAACATATTAATGTATATGAATATTCATATTATAATTGAAATATAATATAACAAATAAGCTGATTAAAATATCTCAGAAAAAAATGGAGTACTTACAGTGTCTGCATTTGTTTTTATTTCAGTAACAATAAAAAATATAGAAAATTATTATATAAAATATACATATCATTCTGATTTTAATTTTTATATATCTAATTTAGCAACTAAATAATTATCTCAAGATCATAAGATTAAAGCTTATCCAATGTAATTAAAACTTATAATATTATCTTTATAATTACTTCGGATTGACGTCAATAAAAAACAAAAGTTTCTAAGTACTTACCTACAAACACATTGTCTTTCAACTCATGGGCGTTAAAGAGTCCTTTCAGAATAATTCACTACCCATAAATATTATTGTTATATTATAAATTGAAGACAAAGAATACTAATAAATAGGCAGCATGGTCTAAAATCTTTTTTTTTTTTTTTGTTATCGCGGTGAAAGGTTTTATACCTACCCCTCCGTCTAGGGGAGACAGAGGCGGTTATGTGGGATTCACGGCCAGAAGGGCCCATGTTACCCACTAAAACACCAGCGGTCACTCTCCGTTGCCGCCAAGTGGATCGCCACGGGAAACGCCGAAGCATGCATCCGCGACGATCCGAGGGCTCACTCCAAGTGACCAGGAGTGTCCCCCCGCCTGGCGGGCTTGCTTAATCGCGAGAGGGTTAACCCCTTACCCCTCCCACCCAAGCCCACGCGGCCAGTCTCCAACCACCCACCGACGAGCGCAAGCGCCCGACGGCAGACAGAGAGGAAACCGACCGACCACAAGCGAACTCAGGCCTCCGGAGAGACCCGAGTATCCCCTCCCCCCCAAGACAGCCACGGACGGCCTCCTGCCAGATCCGTGACTGTCTTACTCCCAGGGCTGTACCCCCAGCCCTCCCCCCCGTGACTGATTGCACCGGAATACACCAGTGGGCGATGGGGTCGTCACGTCCCGACGCCGGACTGCGCCGACAGTGGCCGAGGCCACCCGCCAACACGTAGGGCCGAACTTGGCAGCGGCGGTGTACACCACCGAGCCTCGTCCTACCCACCTCCATGGGCTGCACCCCCAGCCCGGGCCAAGACCCCACGAGGAGGTCAAGGCCCTTCCCCCCCGTGACTAATTGCACCGGAATACACCGGTGGGCGATGGGGTCGTCACGTCCCGACGCCGGGATGGTCTAAAATCTTAGCTTGTCCAAAAGGACGAATCAAGAAAAAAAAATATTCATACCTATATGAAAAAAATTAAACTCACTTAAGTCGTAATAGCCTCATTTGGTAAAAACGCATTTTAAAACTTTTGCTAACATTTTATGAAGTATACTAAAACGTCATAAGCTTTTCTATCTCAGTCTAAAATAGATGAAGAAATGGAACGGCAAATAGATGCTTCACTACGCCCGCCTTGTCTTATTGTATTAAAAACGTAAACCAAAGTAATGTTATACATTGAAGATTTTCTACTATATTTAGTGTAAATCTTTTATGAAAACAAGCAGTGTAATACAATTATTCATACATTATCGTTCAGTTCAAGGTTTCGGAACGTCGTTCCGCTAGCGCTGGCATCGGGGCGCACGTCACCGTTTCTTTATCATTACGGTGGCAAACTTAACGTAGTATGGCCGTCGTTTGGAAGTATTCACAGTTTTACTTCCACAAAGAATACGCGATAAACATTACACAGAGCGAATTGAAAAAGACTTTTTTAAATAAATTCTTGACGCGTGTGAGATAATCTTAAACATAAGTGTTTGATTGAAATCGAATAGAATATTTGACGTCTAGTTTTTTTTGCGAATTTATTTTGTTATTTTTTTCAATCAAAATGTGGTTAGTCAGTCAGCCGAATTCAGTGATTCTGGAGATCAAGGTGGAACCCAATGCCATCGGACAACAGTGTTTGGAAAAAGTAAGAAACTATTTTATTAATATAGATAAATTCACATAACGTTAGTTTACACTTAAGTAACATTTTGTTTACACCAGATTTCATAGCATCACTTAACCTGTACCATTTAAACAAATCAGTATATTTATTCAATTTATTTGATTTCTAATTTATTATAAGCGTGCTTTAATTAAAACAATACAAAAAAAAACATTGACTCTATCCCTGTAAGTCACTTGTATAGTGAATACTATTGATTGAAATCAAGGAGTTTTAATAAAAAGAGGTTTTATTATAAAAAAAAATGCGCTAGTTACACGTCTCTAGGTTACCTCGCGGACTTTGGACTCGGCATTGTCCAACACCTTCGATAGAACGAGCGGTGTATGTTATATAGTTATCGATACTAGCTATGTATATAATGTATGCGATTCATATTGAAATGTTCGACTCACAATCACACACCAAACAATATTAGTATATGTAATTAATATACATATAAATAATTTATTAAATGTGTGCCATTTAACTTTTATTGTACATATAATTTGGCGCCAAAACATTCCAAATGTTTGGACACGTTCCAAATGCAGTTTTATAGTTGGGATGATCTTTAAGGTATTTTTATGTTTCGTTTGTCATATATAAACCAATACAGGACAGGATGAATAATATAAACACATTTGTAGTAACGTGCTCGTAATGATAAAACAGTAAATAATGATAAAATTTATATATACAACTGAAGCAGCCATTAAACGGACGCCGTACATTCTTAATCACTAATCAGTCCTAAAGAACAATAAACATTTCACACGGTCGCAACGCGAATATTAATTATTCTATATATGTGAAATGATTTTATCATAATGTTATTTTGCCTGTGTAGTGTGTATTCGAATCCATTCCATGATGTTCTAATTTTAAAATAATTCTAAATTTAAATCGAGTCCCGAGTAACAGGGTGAATGAATAATCGGTGAGGCAAATGTTATAGCGTTTGTAACACGGCGGCGGCTCGCGGTGATTGTAACGACGGTACAAAGTCCAACAGAGCGGCTAGCAGCTGTGACTCTCTATAAACACGTGCGGCGGGCGTGATCGTTCGAAATTTAAAATTCGTTCGCGACGCCGTATTGCCTTTCTTTGTTAAATTTGTTTAACTAACAGCACACTTCCATACGTGCACTCGGAATGTCAATATATCGATTTATATTTCATAAAGATAATTACTGCTTCCTTAGTACGAGGAAGTTGTATATATATGTATACACTACAATACTATACCATACATGGTATTAATGTTTAAGAAAAAAGGTTTTACATCTTTAAAAATAAATATATGTTATAAAGTTAAAACACCTAAACTAACTGTACGAAATGCAGTCGGTTGTGACGTAGGAACCGTTTGATAAAAATGAAGAGTTGAAATGTTGCATCACTATCAGGTAGAGGCGGCGTGAGTCTGAATGCTCACGGTACAAACTTCAATGTCTTAACTGTAATGAGGTCGGATGTATTTAAAAACGTATGAAATATTATACAATGACGTCTATAAGAATAACCATTAGGAAATAAATATATTTTAAGAATATCATACATATATAGTTTTGAATTTTACACGAGTAAAATAAAAAATAAATCTTATTCAGCTGAAAAATCGTGTCAATTGATGCAGCGAAAAAAATTTCGTAGTTCACACAAATTGTAAGTATTGCGTAAAATTTAGTATATTGCAACAAATATCAAATTACGCTTAATGGAAACCTAGATAATATTAACATTTAGCTTATTTAATATTTTTTTGTATTATATATGTATATATATTTTTTTATTGTATATAAAGCCGGTTCGACCGTTAGGTGTTGCTAGGTTTAAAATTTTTAAATGAATTGTTAGTGGACTTTGTCCAATGACATCACAATGGCCACGGTCACTGAACACATTGGTTATTAAAACTCAATAATACTATTATTGAACACGTAAATATAACTGACATACTATCATAAAAAGAATATGATTGAAAGTGTAAAGGATTTTGGGTATTAAACTAATAATAATAAAAGGAAATAAGGATGATAATCGCGTAAATAGTTTAGTAATTTTTCGTATATACTACGCGTGCTTTATTTTTGTAAACTCGCGAAAGTGAGGGATCTCATTAATTTGGTTATACATATAATATATAATACTGGTATATCAAATCTCAGAACCTTAAACAAGCAGGTTGTTTAATATAAGAGCATCGCAATACAAACACTTTCTCTTTTAGTGTTAAAGGAATCGCCCGGTAAAGGTCCGTTAATACTCGCCGAATTAATCAATCAATATAAGATGACGTCATCAACCAACACTTCATCTCGTTATATGTACTGAAATATATAATTATTATATACACTTATGTATGTATGTCTACATGTTACACTTTACCTATGAAACTAAAAAACTCTCATACTATTTTTGATATATGTTTAGTCTTCCATATACCTACTTAATAATTCTATACAGACAAAGTCACGGCACCAGCCAGTATTATATAAGTATTCCTCATATTCGATACATCTCACGTAAATGTACGGTAATAAATGCTCGTAATCAGAATAATCTCGAATCAGGGCTGAAATACTTCTAAGATAATAATAAAACATAAATAAGGCTATAAAGATAGAAACAAAGGAACATATATATGTAGATAACATATGATCTCATCTGAATATAGAGTATATAAATAGTCGATAAAAATTTTATCGATACTTTTCTTATCGATACATAAATAACCTCCGACCTTAGACACTTATAATCGATTGTTACCAACGGTCATTACTAACGGACGCTAACTGATAAGGGATGACGTCACTACTGATAACACGACCCCCGGGTCGATAGGAACAATCGGTGAGGATCTCCATAAGGTCGCAGTTCAAACGTACAGCCTTATCTATACAATGAAACAATAATATATTCATTATTTCAATATCAATAAATATATTTTGTCACTAAGTATATTATCAGCCTATCAGAGTCCACTAAGCAAAGACCTCTTCGCAAATGGAGAAGGTTTGAGCATTAATCACCACGCTTACTCAAGACGGATTGGCGATTTCAAACTTATAATTTGATTAAAAGTCCAGGTTTCCTCACGATGTTTTCCTTGATTTGTCAATGGTATCTAAATGCACTTAGAAAGTACATATGACTGAAAAATCACATTGGTACTTGCCAGGTTTCGAACCCGCGCCCTCATGCATGAGAGTATATATAAATCTTTATTATGGGTATCTAGTTATGACCAATACATTATAATCGGTAGTTTCAAAATCATTGATAATACAAGTTTATCTTATCAAAGGGATAACTTAATCATTGATATGTAGACGATCTTTGAACCGGAGATACATTGACTGTTTACGTCACCAGACTTAACATGACTAAATATTAATGTGTTTTAAGTATTATATTATATATACAAGTATATGAATTACACATGGATTTGCTTTAAAAATTTTACTTGGATTTTAATGGTATTGTAATTTAAAATGATTTCTATACACCGTAGAGTAATATGTACTATACAAATGTTGCTATAATGAAAAACAAAATTATCAAACGAAATGTGGAATAAATGAAATAACCCATTCCATTAATATGTAATGAGTTTTTATCGTCGTATTATAAGTGGCAGTTACGACTTTATTAGAACAAGTAAATTGCATCCTCAAAGTCTGAAGGGTACCGGATAAGGAGTTAGGAGACCATTGTTCACACACACACACACATACACACACACATGCATACATACACATACGCTCACAAATTCACACACACATACAGACATATACATATATGATCGAAGACTTCCTTTTATTGTTAACAGTTCAATAATCATTAATTAAAGTTTTGTCACATACAAAAAATATAAATTTAATAACAATTCTAATTAAAAACAAATTTATTTCCGTCCTAAATATCAATGTTAATTAAGTTTTTTTTAAGACGAACCAGTAATACACGTGTGTCCAGTGTAAATGATCCTTCCTTGTACAGTCAGAGAACACGTTCTATGAAGTACCTTACACTATGACTCAATACACCCTGTACATTTAACTTCACTTATAAACCTAATTAAATAACTTATATATTAAAATTAATTACAAAGACCTTATGTCACATATATATAAAGTATATTATCGTTTGTTCGTGAGTGTACAACCTTGCAGTTAGTTGAACGTTGCAGGAATCACGTACGCTCTCCCCTCCACGACACGGTTAAATATAACCAAAAAAGTACAACATAATATTAACTTTAATAATAAAATCTTATTATAATTATATCGTAAAAAATTACTAAATTAACATTATTCTTCTATAATTTCGGTAATTATTCATTAATAATTAAAATTGTATGCAATATAACGTGATTATTGATATGAAAAACTTGTGTGAATTTGTTTACAAAAAATTGAGCCTTGCAATGAAATTTCATATATAATAATAATTATAATATAGTTTCTTTTTATTAGTAATTTTAATTTTCCTTATAGCTCACATTTTTGGTACATATTTCATTACGAGCCCTTATGTATATCTACATATACTAGAGATATTTCAAGTCAGTCACTACATAAAGATCATAATATGTATAATAATTTTTCCTTATATTCAAAGCTTTCTATTCCCATTCGTCACTACACCCAACCAATCATAATAACATCATTAAAGTTTAAATCTTTATATATAATTTGATTCTATCAAATCGATTTCTTACAAACGAAAGGAAAATCCATATTGAATCACAAAGTACCTCCTTCAATGTTCAAACAACTGTTGGGTACATTCCAAAAGTCAGTAACCGGCTTCTCATATTTTCCTTCACGTGCTAACTTCATGGTGAATTCATTCTTCATGACCTTATTCTTCATATATATCTTGAAGAATAATATAAAGACTAGCTGATCCGGTAAAAAATTTTTGCCATATAAAAAAGTAGGGTTTGGGTTGTATGTATTTTCTTATGCCACATTATAAAAAAATAAAAACAAAAAAATCGTCCAAAAAATAAAAAAAAATTAAGGGTGGACAACCCTTATCAATTAGGGGTATGAAAAATAGATGTTCAATATGCTCACAAAATTTCATGAAAACGGAAATAACATTATGACACGAGAATTTTATATAAAAGATTATAAAATCGATCAAAGTCCCTCCGTTATAAGGTACTCTAACAATAAGTATAGAGTTATTTTGTTAATTGTAAACCTGTGAAATCTTGTGACGTCATTCATAAAAAACTTGATCTGGTCGAGTGAAAACAAGTCGAGGTTACGCCTCCCTGACGAGAGGTCGGATAGGGGACATCACAAATAAATTATCATCATACTAAATAAACTTATATTTAAATTTCATCATACGAATATATATCACACACAGCTATATAAATAGTTAGTAAAGTATAGGCATATTTTTTAGACCCCCTATACACATACAATATAGATAACATATTGTTGCAATCATATGTAATCAAAGTTTAATCTGCTAGGTCGAATAACAGATAAAGAAATACATTAGAAATTCGTTCAAAATAGTCAAATTTAAAGAGTAGAATACTGTAAATCTTCGCCTTTATTCCTTTATGTCAAACTTCTGTTCATAGACTTGTATTTAAAATCCTGTTTATTGTCTGATTTGATTTTATTACATATATCTTTATCTGTTAACCTAAATTCGCCATTTATAACAAATACGCGTCCTCAAATAATATCTTAATCCGAAAATAATTCAAAATGGTTGAACAAGATGGCCGCGGCGCGCGAAACCGGCGCCATGTGCGTTCTTTGAATATAAAACACTTTCAAGGACAATACACTCAAACGAATTAGTTTCTTAATAAATAATAAGTATATCTTTTAATATTATATGCTATATATAATATATAAGTGCTATATATAGTATACATATATGTATAATGATTCATTATTTTAAGATAACGATATTTGTGTTTTATTAATCCAATATTTTTACTAGCTCTAATACTAATAATAAATAAACTGTAATGAATTGAGGATAAACGAGGTGAAACTAATTTAAAGAATTTAATATAAATGCATATTTTATTCTAATATAATAGATACAATTGATGTTACAAAATTACCTATGTATCTATTACTCAGATCGTTTTCTACAGGTCGTTAAAAATAACTGGCTGTCTTCTTAAAATAAACAAATCTTGTAACTAATTAAAATGTATATCACATATACAGTAAACAGTTATTTATTAATAGTGTAAATAATCAATTATGTATGGAAACGAAGGTCGAAAAATATAAATATATTGTTATGATACTACGCAGTGACCAGTGGGCTGTGGGGGTCTTATCGGTGTGTTTACAAAGGAGCTGATTTGAGAAACGTAGTAAGGACATGATTTGTTATTGATTGATTATTATCAATATTAATAATATTATATTAATAATAAAGTATACTATGTATATGCGTAATGAGACAAGATCTCGTCTTTCCGTGATCACGGTTGCTGTAAAGTAACCGAAATTTTGGGAATAGGTATGTAGTTTTTATCAAAAATAAAGTCGCGTAGTATATCCGAAAAATATTAGTTTCATTTAAATGATTCGCGAAAATCTCAGATCTCTTTATATAGGGAATGTAATAAGTATGCGAAAATTTATATAGCCGGGTTTTATTACGCGTATTTCCTCGTATTTTTTCGTTACTGATAATAATTTATTACGAAATTATATCTTCATAAATTATTGTTTACACAATGATATAAACTTTTAATGATGGTATTAAAGAGGTTATCAAGTCAAGTGAAACTCATTCAAAAGTTAAGGTTCGTTAAATTATCACTGGAAACAAAATATCAGTTATATTTTGAACATAAAACAGTCCTAGTTGGAAATACCTATAATGATATATGTTTTATAATGCTCATAATGCAATGCAAATAATACGCCAGGTATTTACTTATGTAATTCATATTAATTTAATTCTCCTATACATATACTATAGTAAGTATCTGGCAAATTCTATGTAAATAATATGTCTCTCGAGATTACAATATACCTCATCTAACTATAAATGTCAACAATGTTAAGTCAGATGTCATCTTGGAATTTACATTTTTGGTAAACATAGTTTTTTTGCAACAAAATTCAATGATAATTTACATATAGAACCATATATTTGGTTGTATCCAGTCGTCGTGTGACATAATTTTTGTTTTCAAACATCTGGGCTGGGAACTATTTTGGTATATGGAGAAAGTGGGACTCATATACATTTTGAAAGTGCATTCACCTTTCAAGAGGGCAGATAAGTGACCTCTTTAACGTTTTATCTAAAGACAATGATACAAAATACTATGCAACTATATAATATGTAGCTAGTGTTTAAATAACAATGTTTATATGAAACTCAAAGCGATACTTGTAATGCTGTTTGTTTACATACACCGAGGATATATAACAATCAACAACACATATTATGTATTCCTATCAAGTATCACATTAGTATTATAATTTGTTGTTGCATTTAACAATGTTTTGAACTAAACAACCTCTAATATAACGCGTTCGTAGCAAACAGTTTTGGCAGCCATGTTTATTATAATCGCCAGTCTCCCGACTTATCCGTCGACCGATCGAGTTGAATCAAATCATAACAAAGATCCGACGACTGGTCGGTAGACTGGTTGGTCGACTGGTTTAGTATTGAGGCACGCATCGAGTGCGTGATCGGAGCGTGGTCGAGTGTGACGGAGAGAGACGCCGTAATATAAGAGAAAGAGATGGAGAGAAAACATCTGGAAAAGGACTCGGTCACAGTGACTCGATGTGTTTGTTGAAAAATATTTGAACGTGTCGACATTACTGCTATTGTTATATACTAATGGAGAGAGTGCCGAAAATATATAGTTTCAAACGCGTTCTAATAAGGTTCCTTAATAAAGTATTGTTAAGACTCAAGTCTTAGGCAGGTTTACTTCATCTTCTTTGTTCTTCATTGTGTTTATATGCAAAATTATTATAATGAATTAGTCCCGAGTTGTAGTGATTTCACCTTTTAAATTTCGAATATCCAATCTGAAGCAAGAAAAAAAACAATACTTGTTCTAATATTGCATCTCAAGTCTTAACATACATTAGGGAGCAATTTAAACCTCGTTATATAGTCATTGGAATGGCTACACTAAAAACAAATCAAATAACAATCAAAACTGCGTTACTGTGATAGATAGTTTGATATACATTGTATAGATAGGTGTAGGAGAAATGTAGATATAGTTAGGATAGGTCTTCGACGTGTTAGTACTTACATAGAGCTAGATGTAACATTAGCTAGGTTGGACGTGGGGTCATTGAACCCTGGTCGGGACAAAGGTGTGATGAGAATACTTAAATATATAGACATATATGTACTATATATATGTATGTATGTTCATATATATTATTGTTATCACAACACTTAAAGTTAGATAAATGTATTGTTCCAGATTTTAAGAGAAAAATAACAATTTAAGAGATAAGATTTGGTAAAAAAAATACTATATGATAATCCTTTGAAAGTATATACGTTACTATATATATACATATATGTGTGTGTGTGTTACGTCACTCATGTTTCTAAAAATATATTTGAATGAGTTGGATATTTTTGTTTTGTGGAAAGAAAGGAAAATAATTTGTAGTTATTAAATGTTATTTTATATTTGTATGTACATATGAATGTAGGACCTTTTCAGTGACCTTAAACTACCGGAAAGTGTACAATAATAAGGAATTGTACAGGAACAGGAAGACAGTTGCGTTGGATTGACGGCTGCAGTATTGACTGCTGTCTATTTATGATATAATAATGATATGCTAATGATATGATAGATATCATTTAACGTCGAACCCCTCGGTCGTTATATTTCCACATCCCGTACCGTATGGGGCTTGTCATATATGTATATTTGTTTGTTGGTTCCCAGTTTTTAAGAAACCTTTTTTATCTTTATTTTTTGTCAACTAAAAAATATCTGTTCGGTTTCTTTTAAACAATGTTCTTTTGATATGAATAAATTATGCTTAGATGTGTAGCGGAGTTGTGGGAGTTTTCGGAGCTTACTGAATATATAAAACATACATACATAATGCGTTATATATAACAATATTATTTATAGCTTGTGTTATTAATATTAATTCTTTATACGAGCGTCCTCTCATACATACTGTTAGACCACGCGCTCACATCGTGATCTTAATTACATAGAAATACGTCATATAACATGAAGTATGTTACAGTAATAATAGGAAAACTGATATTATAAGTGAAAATGTTTTAAGAAAAAAGTCACTGAATACTTAAGAAATAATATTTTTATGAAAATATATACTTATATACATCATGATTTGTTACTAAGAAATAAAGAAACATAAAATACATTCAATGTGTTAATACCTTAATTAAAATCATTATTTGATACGTGAGTGTGCACTCAGCCTTACAGACACGGAATAACGACGTGATATACAAACAAACAATGATACTAGCTATTGTTATATAGAGTTTATTATACAGTAAATATGAGACTTATGGTAAAAATAATCAGTTGAATGCATAGACTTAGAGTTGTTGATCTATGGTCGTCAAGACTCAAGAGTTCGCTCGTATTATAAGTTGTATAGATCGGATGACTGATTCCAGACGAACTGTCTACTGCATCAATACACACTGCCAAAACAAATATATATATAGAAGAGAAACTACGACGAGAATTAATATTGACGGACCACTTTCACTCATATTATATTAATATGATATAATGATAGACTTATCCTTTATAATATAGTTAATAGTATGTGCCGCTGGCGAATTATAAATTGACTTTATCAACTTGATTATGTACAGGATAATACTGCTTGCGAAATATTGCGAGAAAAACGATCGCATTGTATTAGATTCCCACGGCAGTAACCTTGTTATTTGATGTACTCATGAAGTGTATTTGTTTCCAGGTGTGCGAGAAGTTGGAAATAGGAGCAGAGGCTGATTACTTCGGGCTCCGCGTGTGTTCGGGTTCCGGACCCGGCCGGTGGTTGAATTTGAGGAACCACTTGGACCCGCATCGTATACCAAGCAGGCGACTGGACTTACGTGTCAAATTCTGGGTCCCGCCTCATCTCCTAATCAACGAGCCCACAAGACACCAATTCTATCTACACGCTAAGCTAGACCTCATTGAAGGTCGACTAGTGGTAGCGGATCAAGAAGTCGCCAGAAAGATAATAGCCTACATCGCCCAAGCTGAAACCGGAGATTATGATCCGCAGGCCGCGCCACACGTGTATCACGACTGTGACAAAATAGGACCACAAGGAGAGAAACCAGATGATCACGAAGAAAAGATCAAGGAATATCACTGTCAGATATCCGGCATGAGAGCCTCACAAGCTGAATACAAGCTATTGAAGGAGATATCTAAACTCGAATCCTTTGGAGAGGAAATATTCTTCTGTAAGCCAGTGACGCAATACAATAATGCTCATAATCTGTACAGTCATTTGTTATACCATCGGCAGCAGGCAGAAGAGCCTCGCGCAAGAGATGAGCAGGAAATAGATGGAGGAGGAACCGTGGGATGCTTGGCGTCAACACACACAGGGGCGGGGTGTGGATGTAGACTTAGTACGTGTGTAGGAGTAGGGCCTGGTGGGATTGTGGTGTATAGACCGGCTTGTAATGGAGTGCACGATATAGGAGTAGAGAAACAGAGGTGAGAATATACATATATATACTAGCTTTAGAGAGTAGAGTTCGGTTATATCGCGTTTCCAAGAGAAGCTTTCAAAAGTCTGGAATAAAAACTATCCTATGTTCTTTCTCAAAGTCAACTCTACGTCTGTACCAAATTTCATTAAAATCAGTACAGTGGTTTAGGCGTGAAAGCCTAACAGACAGGCAGAGTTACTTTCGCATTCATAATATTAGTAGGGATATATCAATAAATATGTTCGGTAAAGTATTTTATAATGAATGTAAGTCGTGAGAATGTCTTATTAAGTCACCTCCAAGTGCCTGTAGTGTCCAATGTAATAAAAAATAAATTAATAATACATATATGTATAAAAGATTAAAGTAATGAACAAATAGGATTTGATTTCCATCAATTAAAGTATTTTTTAAGATAATGACTGATATCTCAGTTGTTTTTCTGTCATATTAAAAGATTAAGTGTATGAGGTGGATGAACTTATATAACTTAATCGCTAAGTACATCTTTACATATATCGGTCATGAAAATTTGTTTGACAAAAAACGTTCTATAAATCCAGTTATTTGCACAGCAATGTACACTTGGTGTCTGATAGCTTATCTCTTGCAAATATATTTATCATTGAGATGTCCTAGTATGAAAAGTATTTTTGTATGAAACTGAAATTTTGGCATATGTTTGAATATATCACTATACACATATTAACAGTATATGAGCAAAGGCATCTTCTCACATTGAGAAGGTTAGAGCATTAATCACACTTGCTCAAGACGGGTTGGCGATTTCAAACTTTTAAATAAGTCAAGTTTTTACCTTACCGAGATAATTTATTATAATATAATCTGTATCTTTTCCCATAATAAATTAATATTTTATTTTTATTCCTCAGTATTCCCTACACGTCTATCCACCGCGCCCAACCAGTCCGTCGTATGTTCCAACTGTCTTATGTATCAGAAGAAGGTCACGAGGTGACTCTTCATGTGAAGATGGCCACCTCCAGCCAGGCGGCTGCCTTGTACCGAGCAGTCACTGAGAAACATGCCTTCTACTACTGTGAGACTGTACGGACTGATGTTACTGAACAGTTCATTAGAGATCTCAAGGTTGGTACATTGAGAAATATCATGGTAGGGGGGATATGTAATATATAAATAATATTATATCGTCATCAGCCTATCAGAGCCCACTGCTGAACAAAGGCCTCTTTCTCACATGGAGAAGAGAGAAATAATATTATATACATAGAGAAAAGTAATGAAGAATCATTGTTTGAAATTATTTTATATATTTTGTTTGTTAAATCCAAGTATATTGCAATAACTATCACTTGAAATGATCACATGAAGAACAATCATATATTTTAGGGTCGAATAATTGAAACACTGAATTAGATACAAATAGTTTTGAAACAATTCACATACATTAGTGTGAGGCCGAACGAGAATCATTGACTTTCATTGTTATATTATAAAACTTATTTATTATTAATGAGGGGTGTGTCTGTACAAATACATTTACTGTTCAAAGGTCGACACGACCAACAGTGGAAAATAACACGAGCTGTTAAAATATATATTAAACTATAAGACCTGAGTTTATGATAGGTATGACTACAATACATATTGACTTGGCGGAATACAGTCGACACACGAAAACAATGAACCTCTGTCAAATAAATATAATATAAATTCTATTTGTAACATAAATAATTAACCTGGTTGTACATTTAATTGTATTGGGTATCATGAAATCATTACCAAAACTAAGGACAAATACTCGTTTGTAAAAACAACTGGTATTGTTTATAAAGAACTACTAATTAATAATTAGTAAGTAATAATGTATATAGTTATAAATGAATCATCGTTTTATTTGGATAGGTGTTGATGTTGGCTTAGTAACAAATGTTTTTGAAATATTATTTGCAGCGCCATCTGTTGGCGGGTTTTGACAATTGACTGAAGTTTGATCACAATAACTATATATAGATGACCTTTTAAATGAAATTCACTGTTTTAAAGTGATGTATAGTTTATAATATAAGCATTATAGTTAGTAAGATGTTTATAATCATTGTCCATAGTGTTATATATATGTTATAATGTGTATGTGTGTTGTTTCAGGGCACCATAGCGTCCATCTTCAAAGATTCGTCGACCCTGGGCCGCCGTTACGTGTTCGATATTCGACGAACGTGTAGAGAGGTGCACGACCGGGCGAGGAGAGACCACTACACGCGCACCCGGGAGAGGACTCACGCTGTACAGGTACATACACACAACACATACACACACACACATACATACACACTATAAGAAACATACATTATATATTCTCTATGGAAGATCGTACATTGAATATAATGTGATGATATTATGAACGTTATAATATTTACTTAAATGAAAATGCGAGTTCTTAGTGACATTCAGTGACGTCACTATAGTTTTGACAGTTTTATGTGAAAATAAATATATTGACAAGGAATAAATCTCATTTCTATCTATATAGATGTAGGTATCTATCTATCTGTGTGTCTATATTATGTTATTACTATGTATTTATTCCCAGGAGTCCCGGCCTCGCTCCAGATCTCGCTCGGTGGAGGCGCTCGCGTGTCGCGTGTGTATGGACGCTCCTATAGACACGCTGTTCCTGCCCTGCAGACATGTGCTGTGCTGTGAAAACTGCGCGCCGAGGTACATACATACATCCCTACTAATATTTTAAATGCGAAAGCAACTCTGTCTGTCCGTCTGTCTGTTACGCTTTCACGCATAAAACACTGAACTGATTTTAATAAAATTAGGTACAGCGATAGAGTTGACCTTGAGAAAGAACATAGGATAGTATTTATCACAGACTTTTGAAAGGTTCCCTTGGAAACGCAATGTAACCGAACTCCACGCGGGCGAAGCTGCGGGCGGAAAGCTAGTTAAATATAAACACTCATACACTAGGGCGCGGGTTCGATACCTGGCGAGTACCAATGTTTTTTACCAAGTCATAGCTACTAAGAGTATTTAGACACCATTGACATTGGAAAACATCGTGAGGAAATCTAGACTTGTAATCAAATTATAAGTTTGAAATCACCAACCCGTCTTGAGCGAGCGTGGTGATTAATGCTCAAACCTTCTCCATGTGAGAAGAGACTCAGCAGTGGGCTCTGATTGGCTGATGATTAGTACTAGTATAGACTTAGATCTTAATGTATATGTGTTGTTCTTCATTAATTAAATAATATTTATTTTATAGGTGTGAGCGTTGTCCTCTGTGTCGCGGCGAGGTGGACAAGTTAATGCATATCTTCCTGCCGCTGGAGTACCAGCGGAGCCCCGGGGTCATAATAAAATAACACACGACCAGCACTCGATGATTATATCGAACGGAATGAACTAAACGACGACAATTTTCGATAGAAAATTAAAAGAACGTCGGCCATCTTGGTGATTTGACGGAAGTGACGTTATACATACTTCTATATTGTCTATGGTGACGCGACCCACGCGATGAGCTCTGTTAGTGATCATAGAAGTATTATATAATGGATGACGTACTTGTGTGTTTGTGTGAATGTCTAGTCAAACAATATGACGTGAAATGTGCATTTTTTTTTTATTATTATCGATGTAAGGAATTTCTTGAGACGTGATTGAATCTTCTCTTCGTTTGTATACAAAATTAATCGGTACTTACTTGTTAGAATATAAGTATTAACTGAGTATTTTACTGAGTATAATTAATACTTACATACTATAAGTTCTGCGTACTTTCCCTTCGTTTTAGAAGGAACTAAATAAATTCACTGTCTTTAGGATTATTGTTGTGATAACATTTTTTATTGTCTGCCAAAAGCGTCTTCATTTTATTATACAAAGTAGATGTAACCTTATGTATATTTGTATGTGAAATGCATTTTAATATTGTAATTAATATTAATATTAATGATTATGGTCACTCGTTACTTTGTAAGTTAACACACATGTAAGACCTGTGGTCTGTAACAAAACAAAAAATGCAAATAAATAGATTTAATACAATAAAAAAATCTCTACTAAGTAAGTGGTTTTATTATATTTTTCTAAAAAGTCATAACTTAAAACATATTCAGTAGGTCATAATAAGCATATATGGATGATACAATATTCTTTGGCATTAAGAATGAAATAATGAACCATGTTAAGGATTAGCGTCATAAGAGACATATTTAGAGATTCATTTGTAACGACATCTCATTGAACTGTTAAAATTATTAAAATACCTTGGTCTTGTTGCAAGAAGTTTATACACTAAATTGAACACCATAAAAGACGTTAAATTACTTTGATTTTTTTGGCTATACAGCAATATTTAATCAATATCCTCATTCAGGTTGGATTACAAATAACGTTAATAAATAGGCATGTTAATACTATTATGAAAAAAACAACGGAATTTAAACGATTAACTAAGTTCCCCTACTAAAACAGATATCATCAAACTGATGAACTTTGTTTTAGGATATGACTAATGTGGCTTAGGATTTTATTTCTATACAACTAGAAACCAATAAGGTTATAATGCTATCGAAAGCTCTCGAGACATTAAGCAAAACTGCTAGAACCTTTTCCTTTTATAGTGTCGCAAGCATCATGAAATCGTCAGTCAATGGAGAAAATTGTCTTTCAGGTATGAAATGAGTCATAGATATCCATTCAAAACAGGTTCCATAATTTTACAGGTATAGAAATAATTAAAATATGCGTATGATGAAAAGAGTACACACGGCTTCTTTTCTAAGGTACTAGTACCAGGTTGGTAAGCTTACAAAAATGTTTGCATTAAGCCACTACTATACGAGAGTTAGAACAAAAGACTTAGAACTTAGTTGGACATATCTTAAGCACTATGATTGACATCATCAGGGCCAATAGATCTGCTAACGTCACGAAGACACGGATTTTGGGCAAAAAGAGAAGCAAATAGACGTTTTGGAACAGACTTCAAAAGTTTTGCGGTATCTACCCGGAAGATGATACATCAAATGCTTGTGGTTTTCAGCCTGCTCAAATTTAGTTTTGAGCATGGGAGAGCTTTGCCACCAATGAGTTTGTCAGGAAAAGGAATAAAGTGTTCATGTGATGCGTCCCACAGATATTTCGTCTATGGATATTCATGGCTCTTCAGTTGAAATTAAACAAGCAGCCAAGGAATAGATGCAAAGAAACAAAGCTCCCACTCTAAAACACCTTTGTGCAAGTTCTCTTGGTGTTTGTGTCGTTTATATCTGTGATTTAATATACTTCAATATTGTGTTTTGTTGCTAAGATATCCATTATATGTAGTAATGATGATGTTTTTGATACGATAAGGTTTTTATTTTAGTTTGCGTAGTACACAAAGTGGAATAAAATACATAGTACCATATCTAATCTACTTTTTATTTAATTATCATTGCCCTTTTACAAGAATTAACTTAGATTAAAATATGACTGATACTTGAAACAGTTAAAATTTCTTTTAAATGCTTAATTTGACAAAATTATTTCCTTTTCATGTTGTTTCACAAGAACCGCACGATATATTTTAAGATTTAAACCGAATTATAACAGTTAATTATTTAATAACTTTAATTTTATCTCTTTTCTAATGTACGTTATATTTGTATCTCATTTCTAAACATGTCCATTTTACAATATATTGTTTGACGTTATTGAAGTGGGTTTAGTTAAAATATAAAAAAAAAATTAATTACCATCTTTTTTAATAAGTATTCTTAAAGTTGTTCAATATTTTTAACAGATAACAAAATAATATACCCGGTATTCATGACAGAAAAAGTTTCAAAAGTTGTCTATGCTCTTATTCGCCAGTTGCCACATAATTGATTTTTTCCTTTTTTATAGGGTAAAATGAATTAGACGATTGTTTTTAACGTTAATACTTTATTATTGAGGCCCTAACACCAGATTTTTTTAAAGAATTATAATTTTAAAAGTAATTTTACATAGAAATTTCTATTAAAATCGTTAAGAATCCGATTGAACAGCCATCATGTAATTTATCTACATAGTGGGATACTTAAATAATAAACTGGCAACATTTTTATATTCGCATGAACGCAAGATGGCTGCCAATTTATGTGAATGCAAGGACGAGTTGAAAAGCGATTTACGTTTATAGTTGTTAATCCTGTTAAAATTGTGATATTAAACATAACGAACATAACAATATTGTTGTGTATGTGTTTACGTGGAGTCTGTTATGAGTTATCGATGTTTTTAAATTCATATGTGCAATATTTCTTTAAAAGGCATATAAAATGTTCAGTGTTGAATTGTGATGATTATATATACAGTGGCAGAATCTGGCTTGTTATAATGCATGTGATTGGATGATAGCGGTTATAATATGTGAGTAGATTTATTATTGTAATATAAACTAGTTATTTACATAACCGAGCCAGGCATCAGTAACCTATTTGGGTTTATTTGGTGTTAGTGGCGTGGCTTTAGACGGGTCCTGGCGCCGGTGGGCCGGCTTCGGTCACAGCTGTTCTGTTCGCACGTTGCCAACGCTCGCTCGCCTCACCTAAATTCCTCTGATACCAGCCGCCCCTAGTACATTACTCACATTTGATGTAGTTTCTTTGTCGTAAGGGCACGTAATTCGATACGTCTATCTATATTTCGCCCGTACAGTTAACAGATGGTCGTAACATGCAATAATTGATGCCCTTTAAAACACATTCCTGTGTAAACTTACATTTGCTTGTTTTAAATGAATTTTGAACAATATGAGAGTCAGACAATACATTTGAATCAACAAAGCAGTTTACAATACATTTGGAAATTTACAAGTCATAACAAACAATAGGTAATTCATTTTTATGTATACAACTTCTAAAATGTTCATAACTTTATTATACTATTTTTTATATAAGCCCCCTCTGAGCATACATTTTTACATACATATATATTTATATAACATACATATATTCATTATTTTTACAGCTGAAAAATCATATATATATTTAATATATACAATTGTTAATACATATTATTAAATATTAATTGTTCTAGTGTATTTGTTTAACCCATGTCTGGTAACTTTGTGTTCATGATGGACCTTGACACCACTATTTAACCTGCTAATGCACCAGAAAATATTAATTTTAACATCATATCTTAATGGGTTTTTCTTATCACAAGCATTAGCCTAACTGCTTATATCATTTAATAAATAAATAAATTATAATATCACATAGGTATGAAGAAAAAATATATAGTATATAGATTATATATGGCAGTACTTAATCATTAATATATATATGTATATATGTATGTGTTCTTGTTTATCCCACCCTATGATAAACCAGGTCGTAGGTGACCCATATAGCATTGATGTCAAGTGCTCTACATATTTGTAAATGTTGTTTAATATTACTTCAATTATCAAACCACTCACAGAAGAAGTGTGTGGTGTGTGTTATATATACAAGTTCGATATTATTTGCTAATAGATTTCTTTATATTAGTTATTGATTTTGTCATATTAAATACTAAGAATCTTTATAGTTTACATGCTTCAGAGTGTGTTAAGAAGGTAAATCTTGGTCAAATACTTCAAAAGTCTGTTGAATGTATGTTAATGTCCCCTCTAGAATATATGCTACATATATCTTGCTCTTCAAAGTATGTACACTTCTGTGTACATATATGTACATAGAAGTGTACACAGTAGCCCTGTAGTGTAGTAGTGTGTTCATGTTACAGCCATATTTATAAAACACATGAATGTTCAGTGAAGTATCTGAATGTATGCGTCTCCAGTTGAACCATGTTTTATAAACACATTGACTGTATTGACAACATTACAGTCATCGTGTGCTATTAAATGATATTAAATGATTTACAAGCAAGTGAGATATATCTTTAAAAATAATACAGGGTAAAATAAGCAGTAGACTCTTGATAATTGTATATTAATCTATGATATTATGGTACATATTTATTCCATCAAGTCTATTTAGAAGTCTCTTTTGTCTTTCACAAAATTTCATTAGTTTTTTTTTGAAATTCCAATGACCACTTTAAAACAAATATTAAAACCACAATGTACAATATTATAATAGATAAAATTATTCAACTTAAGAGTATAATTTGTTGGGAGAAGTAGTAACCATCAGATAAATATACATATAATTGTTCTAAAACAAGGTTAAAAAATATTTATCTTCCATTAAATAACTTCACCAAAAAGAATTTATTATTATTTCAAAGTTTTGCCGTCGTATTTTTCTAAGTTTGTTATATCGTCAATTTTTATATGTGTATGCTTACTACTAGTTTTGTACTGTCTTCACAAAGAGCGTGT